TTGTATAGTGTTTTCATTATAAAGGTTGTGAAAGAATGAATATGTCATTTGCTCAATGGCGTGTGGCACTGGATGGCATCAGTGGTAGATTGTGAATTGCTCAATTGTCCTAGCCATAAGCAGACAAACAAGAGCTGCGTTTGTGCGGTACTTGCTCATCACACCAAGATTATACGCTTACAATATTTACGTGTGGATTTTGGCTGGTGAATCAGATAAGAATGCATCAAGTCTTTGGGGAGACGTTAACTCAATGGAAGCCATTTCCTCCATTGAAATGTTTATGTTGTATGATGGAGCTGAAAGCGAAGAAGCCAAAACACAAAGAGCGATTGATGCAAGCTGACATGAGTAATTATTAGTGGCTTTCGTTTGTGAAACCAGGAACATTCTTTACCCGCTGAATGTCACTGAACAGGGCTGTGAGGTCTTAATGACCCAGCTATGCACACACACCCTTTAATGTTGGGCTTTATAAATGAGGGGTGTTGGTGTGTCATGAATCTGCCTGCCTGTTGTCACTGTGTCATTTAATTGTTTCCTCAAAAGGGATTGGCAGGTCTTCGCCAACCCTTTATGAACTTGATTTTTTTCTGTGAAAAATGGATGAAATATTTTTTAAAAAATTAGAAGTATGTTGTGGATGTTGTGAGGCTAAGGCATGTAGTTTAGATCAAGTGTAAGTAAGGCCTAAATATGTATACTATTTTTGGCAATGCCAAAGGCTGGTGACAAGCAGAACAAATTGTGTAAGCACAATTTGTAGACTGTATTTTTTATTTTATTTGTATTATTTTTATTTTTATTTTATATATTTTTTGTTTTGTTTAATTTTTTTATATTTTGTTTAATTTTGTTTTGTTTTACTGTTTGTTATTTTATATTACTTTATTTTATTATTTTGTTTTGTTTTGTTTTCTTTAATTATTTTTTATTATTGTTTTTATTTGTTTTCTCTTTATTTTATTTTTCATCTTTTATTTTATTATTTTATTTTATTATTTTAATTTACTTTATTTTATTATTTTATTTTGTTTTATTTGATGTTTGTTTTTGTTTTATTATTTTTTTCTTTTATTCATTTATAATTTCATTTGATTATTTTATTTTACTTTATTTTATTTTATTATTTTGTTTTGTTTTGTTTTATTTATTTTTATTTTATTTCATAAATATTTTTACTTTATTTTATTTTGTTTTATTTTATTTTATCATTCTTTTAATTATTCATTATTTTAAAAACAGAAATACAGCACTATTAAATAGATTTTAATCATTTAAATGTATTATTATTGTCATTGTGATTGTATATAACAGCAAACTTTTAAAAACTAGCATTTATTTTTATTTCTTTTAATCCATGAGCTTTTGTTTTGACAGATAGCCACATGCAAACTTTTTTTTTCGTCCACAGATATATAATTCTTTCTCATTACAAACTTGAAAATCATGTATGCGACTCAAGTTTATGAACAGAGTCAATCTAAAAACACATTCAAAATGAGCTGCTCAGGACAAAGATCGCAGTGCATTGTATTGAATATATACCTGTATAACTCCAGTACAATTTTTTGATTTTAATGTTAATGATAAACCTATGACCAACCCTGTTTCACTTTGGAGAATGTTAATTTAAGGTCTTGTGTGTAGGCGATATATATTTAATCTCGATTACAGACTTTTTTCCCCTACCACATCTTTATGAGCCTCTGTGGTTTGAACATTGTTTGGAGGGTTGCAGCACAATCTAATTGAGAACTTTCTATTGTGCTCTGCTTTGAAATTATCCAGTGAAATAATCACACATACACAAATTGTTTGGTTCAACACATCCTAAATGTCAGTGCAACTTTCCCACAGACCAGTACTGTTTTGTTTATGACAGTGACCTGCTAAGACTGTATCATCAGACCCTAAAAATGTCTGAAAAACAGCTTTGGGGAATGTATCCTAGTTTCTGAGTTCATTTCGCATGAAAAATTAAGAATGCATTGGCTTGATGTCGCCTTTTGTGAGAGTATAACATCGAAAACATCATATCCTCACAAACAGTCATTAGCTCAAACAAGGTTTTTTTTTCTTGCCTTGGGAACAGACGGGTGATTACAGGCAATTTGACGCAGTCTTGTACTTGTTTAGACACATTAGTTCAAAGCATTTAAAGTCTGATGTGTGAATAGAGACCCCATTGAAAAGCATTTGTCTCTGATTATGTCTGACAGGGTTTTGAGTAGAAAAATGAGCTGTTGCTGTTGGAATGTTCCAGCCACAGTTCTTTCACTAAAGGACGAAGTATTAAAGTGTGCCAAGAGCGCCTGTTGAACACAAATGCACTTTTTTTATCACACTGTAACCCTGTGTTAACAATATAAATAGCCTGTTCACCAACCCAACCTATCAATATTTAATATTCGGGAATGTAAATGTAAGTTTTACAATAAATATTCTGGCCTCTTTTTGGTATGATTGCAACAACAACAACAACACAAAGTATTAGATATATCATGTTCACTTGTCTTGTGAAGTAATGTTAAAGCTTTTTGTGAGAAAGAATCCAAATGTAGTTGTAAATGTCTACCTTTATGATAGTTTTATTCTTTTATGGTATCTTTGCATCCTTCTTGATGTTTAAAATCTGTAGGTCACATTTGTTGTAGTTATGAAAGGGGTCTGATTTATTTTTCAAAGTGTATTTATTTTGTATTTCCCAGAAGACAAAACTTTACCGTAGACAGTTTTGAACTTTTCTTTGACAACAGAATGAATAAATGTTGGCAGAACTATAATTTTCCCATTGTTCAGATTTGTTTAGAAATGCTGGTTTTGCTGATTAAGCTTTCCTTTTCAAGATCAAATCTTTCTCCATATAAAACAACATGATCTTATGATCTCCCCCACACACACCTCAAAAAAAAAAAAAAGGATTGGTGATAAATAAAGGCTCATATTCATGTGAGAGAACATCTGATCCCACGAAACCAAAATAATTCTTTGTGGCTCCCAAAATAAAAGTTCCCTTCCATCTATTTTTTCACCCCAACAAAGAATCCTTTGGCTTTTTCAGGGCTCATAAATTATCATTAGGTAACAAGCGTTTCAGGCTGAATGTTCATGACACTTTTTTCCAGCAGCTTTGTAAATGTGGACTTTGTTCTGATGGCAGACACATTCTTCTTTTCCTCTTACGACTTTTATTGGAGCAATAAATTGTTGTTATCGGGAGCAGTGAACGCCTTTATTCAGCGAGATGAACATGTCATACAGGTTCACCGGCTTTAAAAACACACATCATAGAATCACTCTTCTTGTCATAAATCTTACAACAGGACTGTCACAGCCAAAAATGTATTTGTATTCACTCTGGAGAGTATTGTTAGTGCTGGAAAAATGTGCTCTATAGATGTCAGTAGGGACTGAAGGATGGTACAGTATGTACAGCGCAGGTGCTGTCAGTCACTTTAGTGTCATTAAATGCTCCCAATACTGCAGGCCAGGCATGTGCTACTGTACTACTGATTTATCTATAACCACATAAAACATGGAACATATGAAGAGGAGCTCATAACTGTGGTTGCAATCCAACATGACTTGAGGAATTCAGTCAGTCTTTAACCTATGATAATAAATACCCCAATAACGCAATCTCACTGCAGGTTGTAACATTTTGATTAATTGGCTAGTTTGTGTACATTTGTACAATCTCATTTATGTCAAATGATGGTTGGGTTTAGAATGGATTTCGGAGGCATGACTCCTTTTACAACAAATAAACTTCATATGAATTAGCCGCATCTCTGACAATACATAAAACAGCAGGGGTGCCCAAACTTGAAGGGTCAAAACTTAATTGAGGTTAGTGGGCTGAAAGTAAATATAGTTACTACGGGTTTCCAAATTTATTTAGTAATGTTTAAAAGAAATCGAAAACATTGCTTTATATTCACTAATACAGTATACATTAAATAATGAATTTATTAACTAACCCTAACTTATTTACCTAACCCTAACTGACCATCCTACACTATAAAAAAACTGGGTTCCATGAATTGCTTCATTAAAGTAACTTAATTGTTCTTACAAATTTAAATGGAGCATAAAAGTATTAGGTTGTTCCAAAAACATTCAAGAAGTTTGTTGATTCAGCTCATTTTAAATTAGTTTGAACAAGCAGTAAAAAATATTTTTTGAGTGTAATATTCAAACTATGTAATTAAACTCTTGTATGTTGAAGTAAGTAATCCAAAGTTAGCCAGATGGTCTACTATTTCTAACAGACATTTAAAGAGCAAAACTATTATAATGACTATTATACTGCATTTAACAGCATTGAGGCCATTTATTTAATACATTATATCAAACACAAGATGATTTCTCTAAACATATTCCTTAACTAAATATAATGATGGCATACATGTTAACTCTCATAAAGGGTCCCTTATTGAGGAAACGGTGCAGGTATTATATAATCTCTTTGGTCAAAACAACAGAGAAGGAAATACCTTACTTTGTTGCACACAGCAGCAGGATGTCAGGGATCTTAAGTTCAAGATGCCATTGACATTTTACATAGAGGAATGTGGTATTTTTATTGTGACCCTGTATAGTCTCAACCTTTGGTGACAATGCTCATAAATAACCAATCAGGAACAAAGTGGTGCCATATGAGTAGAACATACAGTACAGTACACAGTGCATTAAATGCATATACATCTTCAGCATTTGCATTGTTTCTTGCATTTCTAAAATAAAAAATGTGGTCTATTTAAAAACAGGGTTGTTTTTCTGTTGTTCATCAGGTCTTTATATCATGTTTGTCAGTGCATGTTTTCAGTGTGTGTTCTTTTGTATAGAGCCACTGGGAGCTGGCCTGATAGGATTGTGCTTTCACCTTCTAGCTCATTCACCAGTGCACACAGAGACCCGAAACATGCCCACTGTTCTTTTATTGTACTTTTCCCAGGCTGTGAGCGATTAACCAAAACACCTCTTCTCCCCTACAGGCACCAGGAGAGCAGCAGGAGGCTCAAAAATGTAAGTGGCAATGCTGATGTTAAATCATGTTTATGCCCTAATTTGCTCATTTGCAATATTCTGTGAGGCTTAGGAGTCTTGCTTTTTTCCTGTGGCGTCTAATAAAATGCTCATTTTACAGCTTCCACATTGTGGTTTGTGGTTGTCTGCCTATCTCTTAAAGTAGCACTGTGGCATTATATCAGAGAAGCATTTTAAGAGGCCTCTTCTAAATCTCAAGTATAGCTCTAGAAAGCAAATGCAGGGGCCAAAAGATTGTCTGGATACATGAGTGTCTGGAGCGAATGTCTAAATAAAATATTGGTGGATTTGAGAGAAACAAACCTACAATATAAATACATCAAGCATTTAATCATATTGTTTTTTAAAAGTAATCTTTTGAGGCATTATTGCAATTTGAAGTAAAAAAAAATTGTTTGCTCTGTTTTTATATTTTACTATAGTTTCTCATTTTAATGTGTTCATGTTATGGCAAAGTTTCATTTTTAGATGCCATTACTCTTGCATGCCCTTTTTCTTAACTTTAATATGCTGATTTTGGTTTTTTTATCTAGTTCATTGTGTGTTGCAGCTTGCAATCAGCCTTTAATTTTATCATTAAACAGTATATTTGTTGCAACATATGTACTAATAGTATACTAATGTGTTGCTTTGTATCTTAGGTTCTAATCACCATATATTGGTTGGGCAGAAAGGCACATGCTGATCCATTTTATAATGGACCTTACCTAAAACTGAAGGCTTTCGAGGGATTACTTGGCACCACACTATATAAGGTAAGATATAATACTGACATTGTGTGCTATTTGCCTCTAGTATTTACTCTCAGAACTTATATTGTTTGTTTGAATACCACTGATTCTTTTAGAGTAGCTTGCCATGTAAATCTTTTTTTACATCCTCTCTGGTATTTAAGATATCTTGCTAGGAATGCAGTATGCTGGGCTCATAGCTACTAAATACACTTCATAAAGGGCTGTTCTGTCTGTTTTCAAGTGCAAACAACAATCTTAGATTGAAATACATTTATTTAAAAGGCAGAATTGATTACACTGTAAAAAAAAAAACCTGGTGCCCTTAATTTGACCTTAACTTTATGAGTCCCTTAAACTTATATTATTTTAAACTGGCTTAAAGATGATGGCATAACTTATAAAATTAAGTTAGAACAAGATTAATTTAGATTAAGATTAAGATTAACTTGAATCTGTTAAAATGACCTAAAACATATGCTGTGAGGACTATTTGATCATATTATTTTTACAGTGTAGGATATCTAGTCAAACAAAAAAGTAAACATGAGTTACTTTATGCTGGTTGTTTTCTTTAATGTAGATCAATTTTTTTTTTAAATAAAACTTAATATCTTAAGTAACTTAAATGAGAAATGTTTTGACCACTTGACATGTGGATCATTAATGTGATTATTTCATATATATGTATATTATATATACATATATTATGCATGTATATTATATATAATTATATTATTTCCCAATATTGTGATTATTTGCAATATAAAGACTTAATTATAGTAAAATGTTTACATGACACAGGTAGCCCTCTTCAGTTTGTATGCAGTGTTCATTATTTTGATTACTAGAAGTTTGGTTACCTTTAACTGACATAATTCTTGTATGTATCTTGTTAGCATTGGAAGGCTACACTTAAAAAAAAAAATCTGTAATTTTATTTCCGTTTATTTTCGGCACCCCAGCTGCCGAAAATAAACGGAAATAAAATTACAGATTTTTTTGAGAACTGTAAAATAACGGCCGTTAAATTACAGAACTTTACTGTAAAATAACAGAGGTTATATTACAGAATTTTACCAGAAATGTTAATTTAAGGAAATTTCTGTAATTTAATGTCTGTTATTGTACAATTACAAGACTGGCCCTACTGTCATGACTAACAATTGAAGAAACAGACGATTCTTATGAGTAAGCCCGTGTTTGTGCACTGATCAAGTCTGTGTGCTGTGTTTGTTGTTTGTGTTGTTCCCTTGTGCCTGCTGTGTGTGTCGGCCCGTCTCCCTCACACTCACACCCTTGTGCTCGACAGGCTCTAGAGGATTGCACATCACTGCGGGCCAGTGTGCCAAACCGCTCTTATCCAGATAGCTGGTACTCAGAGAGAGAAGAGCTCTTCCCGCTGCGGGCCGGACACAGGAGAGAAGACTCTCTAGACAGCCTCAATTCGCTGGGCTCCAGGACCTATAGCACATCCTCAGACGCCACACTCAAAGGCAGCAGCGAGGGTAAGACTCTTCAGTCTCTCTTGTGTGTTCTAGCTTGACTTTTTGAGATAAGTTGATGAATTAAAGCTGGAGCTGGATGCTTTATTTTGTGTCATTTTACACAAAAAAAGTCAAAAAGAAAGAATAATGTGCAGTTCAGTTTTTGTATGGGTGACATAGTGACTCAGTGGTTAGCACTGTCGCCTCACAACAAGAAGGTTGCTGGTTCAAGTCCCGGCTGGGTCAGTTGGCATTTCTGTGTGGAGTTTACATGCTCTCCTCATGTTCATGTGGGCTTCCTCTGGGTGCTCTGATTTCCCAGTCCAAAGACTTGCGCTATAGGTGAATTGAATAAACTAAATAGGCCATAGTTTATTTCTATGAAAGAGCATGTATGGATGTTTTCCAGTACTGGGTTGCAGCTGCAAGGACATTGGCTGCGTAAAACATATGCCAGAATAGTTGGCGATTCATTCTGCTGTGGTGACCCCTGATGAATAACAGGACTTAGCCGAAGAAAACTGAATGACTGAATAATTAATTTTAAGTAATGGTTAATGTACATCTAATACACATCATCTGTGTTGGGCTGCTGATTACTGTTTAGACTTTATTCAACGAAAACAACCAACCATATCTACATTATCCTGCTTATTACACACAGCTGCTTGCAACAGAAGTAAACAATTAGACAAAAAACATTTATCTGAGTTGAAATAATTTAATAATTTAACTCTTAAAATTAAACATAAAACCCTCACTCACTTGCATATTGCATATATATTGCATATTAAGATAATGATAATGCCCAACAAAGCTGTGACTGATATACATATATATAAATATGTAAGATGATTCATAGTACCCGGATGAGCCTGTGATATTGTTTATATTGTATATTTTGGCAGATGTTATCTGGGAATAACATACCTTGGAATCTAATCAGAAACCAATCAGAATCAAGTAGAGAGCTGAGAGCAGAGAGCTCCAGAGAGCTGTGTAATGTAAATAACTAAATTAATTAATTAATTAATAACACTTTAGCTTATTTATTAAAACCTATTAATTAAAAAGGAGGTATCATGAAAATTTGACTTTAGTCCCAGCTACATGTTCCTACCCAGAAAATGTGAAAATGGACACTCTTTTTCTGCAATATGTAGAAACACAAGCCACTCAGATTTCACTCGCCTAGTGATGTTGAAAGGAACATTTTTCCACTGCTTATTCTGTACGCTCATGGTCATGGTTATTTGCTGCATGAGAGTTGCTTCTTTTGTTGTTTCTGGAGTGTCAGAATAACATGTTTAAGCTCCACCCTCTTCTGGACAGCAACAGCTCATTTTCTTCCAATAGGAATATTTTTGCTCACATCCACATAGGGGAGATTTTGGGGAGCTGTAATCAATGATCTGTTTGGTATTTTAAGTTAAAACTTCACAGACATGTTCTGGGGACACTGACTTTTTATTTTACATTTTAAGAAAACTGGCATGTCCCCTTTAACTTTTGCCTGTCAAATCTAAAGCCTGGTGCCCTCTAGTGGATCCATTAAGCTTTTGTCATGAGCTCTATTTTGCTATTTGATCGTCAGCAGAGGATGTTTTAATGGAAAGTGCAAACCACCATCGCTCATAGACTTCTACATGGTTGCATTTCAGTGACATTAGCATCTTTCTACTCAATCATAGTCCCAGGGGCTCAATTGCAGCTCACGCGAAAGGTGCTGATGTAATTATCTACTCATATAATTAGTGCTCTGGACTGTCTACGTTCACCCCAGTGAGACATTTTTTCGTTTTCCCCACTGACTCGCCAATGAGTCACTTGCTTCCCACTGACATGTTTACTACTGAGAAATATGTGTATGTGTGAACTTTGGGGGAAAAGTACAAATATTAGGACAATTAAGACATTTCAGAATATTGCTGAATGAGAGGTTTCAGTATATTTTTAAATCTTGAAATAGCATTTCAGTTTTCCAGTTTTCAATGTAAAATGCTACAAATCATGTAATTTTAATGTGCTGATTCTTTCTTGGAGCTTAGGAGACACTATTTATGTCACAGTTTACAAATGATAATGAGGCTTCATATTTTGGGGGACACGTGAATAAAATAATGCATTAACCCCAAACTTTTGAGCCGCAGTGTTTACTGAATTAATGATCATTTCAAGAGTTCACACTTAGATATTGCTTAATTGTATTAGCTAGTTTGGCATGCTGTCCCAGGAGAGAACCCTGAGCTTAGAGATAATTAAACCTAGGAGCCTTAAAAAGCATGTAAGGGGGTACAAGATAAGGTAGTTTTTGAGAGCTCGCCCTGGTAAAAGAGAAAAGGGGGAAGATTGGGTGTATGGGGGGTTTCTTCATAAAACGAAAAAAGTAATAAAATGTGTTACTTATTTACTTTTTATGGAAAGTAGTGCATTATATTACCTTTGAGTTACTTTTACACTTCTTTTCCTTACCTGGCTGTGGTTTGATCTCTTACAGAACTTGCAGCCACCTATATAACCTATCTACACCTAACTACATCCATTTTCCTTTAAAAAAACGTAAAACAAAATTATATTTTAAGAATTTTCTGAGCCTTAAGCTATGCAGTACATGCTGTAAATACTGTACAGATTAATGAAAGCATGTAATGTTTGCTACTTTTGTACGTTTTGTGTTATTAGTTATGTAAATTCACTGTCTATTGAGATAAAGATTGCAATAAAGAGTACTAACATGAAATAATATGTACTAAGGCAAAAAGAGATTTTATACTTTTTAAATGTTTAATAACAAAATGAACAGTAAAACGATTAAAAAAAAATCCAGAAAGCAAAATAAATCTTTAAGCTTCATGCATTGAACTAATAAATTAGTTCACATGGCCTTAACAAATGTGTACATTTTTTTCCCAAAAGTGAAATATTGTAGTGGCTTCTACCGTGGACATCAGCTTCCATCCACCTATTTTTATGTGTGTTTTAAATATGCACTTAAAAACTGTCAATTGTACAGCTGTGGAAAACTTTAAAGACAGGTCATTTGACCTTCGTCATAAGAACACAGCTTCATGAATATATTAAATAACATCTCTATGAAGATCTTTATTCTTTTACACTCTGTAAGTTTTAGAGTTATAAGTTAGAAAATATCATTACCTCATTATAAAAACAGCAAAAATTCCAGCCAGGAAAGAAAACAATCGTGTGTGTAAAAGCCTCACCCACAGGCTCTCTGTGCTGTTTCTTTAGGTTGTGGCAGTGACCCTGAAGCAGATCTGAGCTTCACCATGGCAGACAATAAGGAGTACCGCCGTTCACAGGTCATAGCACCTAAGACTACTACTCAGTTCAATCAGTTTCTCCCATCACGGGACAAGCAGTCCGGCTATGTTCCAGCACCATTACGCAAGAAACGTGCAGAGCGAAATGAAGACAGCAGAAGAAGCTGGGCAAGCCCTATGTTCACAGAAGATGACGGCACTTTCACTAGGTACAGTAATGCAAATCTGCACTTCAGAGATTTAAGGGGGCATTTGTTAAAGTATACATTGTAGAAAGGTGACCAGTAATGATGTGGAAAGTGTGGAATTGGTCTTTCTCTTATGAGAAAAACAATATTTCTAAGAAAGCAATGAAATGGAAAAAACTAATTGGGTATTTCTCTAATCTTCAGATGTTTTTCTGAACAAAAAGACAGTTTTGCGTGCATGTTCTTGACTCTAAATGAGAAATTGTCAAAAGATTTCCAAAATATATCTTAGGCTAAGCAACAAGGTCTAAAATTACTTTTTGCCAAACCTATCATCTGTTTGTTTTTTCATTATAAATATGCAGAATAAATTGGGCAGACAAATATTATTTAAAAAAAAATGTATGTGTTCGTTTATCAGTCAATGCGCAGTGGGTAGCACTGTTGCCTCACTACAAGAAGGTCTCTGGTTCGAGCACTGGCTGGGCCACTTGTCATTTCTTTGTAGAGTTTGCATTTGCGTGGGTTTCCTCCAAGTCCTCCGGTTTCCCCCACAAGTCCAAAGACATGCGCTATAGGTGAATTGGGTAAGCTAAAATTGTCCATAGTGAATGTGTGTATGTCCTGGTCCTCTAATTTGGGGGTTGAGCGTTGAGCTTTGTGACCCACTTTGTAATAATGAGAGGTTACAAAACACCAACATGGTGTGACTAAATATCAACTTTGATATAAACGGCCCTAGGATATATGTCAATATATATATAATATATATAATATACACTATATTTAACTTAAAATAATTAAATTAATAAAAAAAAACATTTTACTACTGATTATATATATATATATATATATATATATATATATATATATATATATATATATATATATATATATTTTTTTTTTTTTTTTTTTTTTTTTTTTTTTTTCTCATACAGAGAAACGTGTATTTTAATTGCTTCTTTGTTCTCATTAGAACTTAGGAAGATGTTTGGCACAGTATTTTTCTTACCATACATCTTATTATACATTTGTGTACATTAATTACAACACAGTCTTTGCAACTTGATTAAAAATATGTTGGCCATTTACTGGTGAGTTAATGTCAATTATAATACTTCATGTACTTGCAAAAGCAAGTCTTTACTCTCATTTGGCACTCGGTGAATGTAAAATTTAATCCTTGTTAATGAGATTTTCTGAACCTTTTTCATATAAAGTAAGTGTTTTGGGTCAAATTGAATTGCAGCATAATCCCTATGTTGTGATTGAGCATTTCTCAAAACGTCTCCCTATTGCCCACTTTAAAATTTATGTTTATCATAAAATTCCTCTTTTGTTGGGTGAGATGTTACAGTAACCATGAAACCTCTAAATGCAGTTGACTGTTTTCTTCATTACTTTCTTGCTATTGTGCTTTTGAAAAGCTTTTGAAACCATTGTTTGTGGTCAGTCCCAGTCCTGAAATGGCAGGTTCAGACTCTTCATCTTTGACCGGGTTGAAATCTCAGACAGCAGCCCACCAGGCTTCAGTTTATGAGTATGAGAGCAGTGATTCAGATGCAGATCGACCGGATCCTGATGTGGTTCTAGATGACCTCGCTAGTCGTAGATTTCACAGCCCTTCTCCTGTCGCTCCGACCAACTTTGCCTTACCCATGAGCCCACTGGAGGCAACTGCTGTCCCATGCACCACCAGACCCCATGTGCTCATCAGTAATGTGCCCCGGCAGACAATGACCCATCTCAGGTCAGAAACTGGCATCACTGACACGCATCTGCTTGCAGTTTATCAGTGCTAACTTTGGGTCTTCTTCGGAGAGCTTCAATTTTTGGTTTTGAGTTGCCGTGATGTCATTATTTCGCTTGATTTTCAACCTTTTCTTTTTTGGAATATTTAATTTTTGTTTGGTTTGCTGTGCTTTGTTAGCCATGGATGGTGTGATGTGCAGTGATTACTGGCAGTATGTAATAAAAATGGCTGTTTTTTGAGCAGCAGTCAGTCACAGTCTCTTCAGAGGACTTACAGGAGGCCAGAATCTGCCGATGTCTGCATTTATGATGACTCTGAGGAGGAGGACGATGAGTTTGGCTATGCCGATCCTGTTCAAGATGACCTTTATGCCCGTAAAGTAGGCCTGATGCCTCAACTGTCTGCCTCGGTGCCTTTTGATAAATTTCTGCCCAAATTCTGGACACCTGAGGAGGATGCGCACATCAACAAGATCAAACTGGGTTCCCAGCGTCGGCCTTGGTACAGGAAGATCCAGGGTTTCAGGTCTGTCCAGTACAGAGGAAAAAACTAGAAACAAAATAAAACCTTTAGTAAAAAAAAAAATTCCAAGACATGCATGATATATGGAAGTTGAGGGAATTATAAAGTTTTAATGGTTCCATTAAATTATAAAATTTATAATTAGTATTATTAAAGATATTTAGTAAGAAAAACTGGACAGTATTTGGATAATAATAATAATACTTGCTCTGTTTATTACTAAAATATGCTATGAGGGTTTTACATATGAGCTGAATACTAATATCATATAGACAACTTGTTTCTTTTTAAATAATTATCAACTGTTAATGAAAAAAAATTGGTTTTAATATTTTAAATAATATTATACATATTTAAAATTAATGATGTAATTTGAATGTATTAATAGTAATATAATAATAATTATTATTATTATTATTATTTTTTTTTTTTTTTTTATTTTTTTTTTTTAAATAATTATCAATTTGAATAGATTTGAAGAAAAAACGTTTTTTTTTATCCACTGTCCTTATTGATTAGAAAATTATTGACGAATAATTCTATAGATGCTCCAGTACTCCCTTATGCTTCCCCAGTTTGTCATGAAGTGGCATCTGCAAGCAAATGATGCTACACCTTAGTTCAGAACAACTTGGCCTAAAATTTTCCTCACATATAAAATATGCAAATTGTGTATTAATTGTACCTTGATTTTGAGCAATTTTACTTTAAGCATGGCCTAAATGTTCAAATTCTTTTGCATGCCACTTCAAACCCTGAAGTTTCTTTATTGATCATTGACTTTTATTACTAAGGCTTTTCTGTCACCTCTCTGTGCCTTTTCCCTGGTGAGGGTTGCTAACTTTTTTTCTCTGTATCTTTCTCTGTGCTTTTTCACCTCACATTTTCCAGCCACAAGAAGTCAGGTTCGTCCTCGGAAGAATCAGACGGTGACGTCAATCCCTGGCCTTCTGTTCCCACTTTCTCCCGCACTCAGTCTGAACCCCCTCGCTCTCACTCCCATTCACCCGAAGGCCTTGCCCTGCCAAGCCTCACTTCTACACACAGGTCCTTATCACATCCCTACATGCCATAGGAATGGACATCCACTTCCCCAATCAGCTTCTCCTCGTGTTCTAATAAACTGATGCTTACTAACATGTAGTCTTTTTTTATTTAAAATCATCCTCACTGACTTTAATTATCTCACCAAACAAGTGCTTTTGTATCCGAACGGAAGAGATGAGAAGGTTCGTACTGTCAGTATATAAGTCGTTACATAATTCAAGCATGTTTAAAGTGCAGCTCACCCAAAAAAAAAAGTGAAAATCTTTTAATAGGGTTCATAGTAAAAAAAAAGAATTAAGAAAACAAAAGCTCTTCAGAAGGTGTAAGATTTGTGTGAGAAGAGAAAACTATCCAGTGAAGTTCTCCAATAAACAGTTCCCTTTAAAAACAACTGTGACCATATTATATAATGAGTCAGTAGGTTGAATTCTAGAAAAGGATCAGTACATTCCTGAATGATTAGTCATTCCTTTGAGTCTGACCTTTACAATAAATACAGCTGATTCAGCTTACAAATCTGACGGATTACAAGCACACTGTTTGCATTTGAGAGCAGCAGCTAATTTACCAATAAAATGGTCGATTATCAGATTTTTCTGATTTCAGTCTGTTCACCACACAAATCTTTTATATGCCTTCAGAAGATAAAAATATATCAAAGTATTCATATCAACCCCGATTTTTGTTGCAGTTTTGGTAGTTAAGGACCCTTTCACATCAAAAACAATAACTACCGTTGAGTATACATTAGTGTCCACACTACTTAAAAACAAAATGCATAGTTGAACTGTGGTTATATAAATGACACAAAAAACAAGCTACTACACTTTTACAATAATAAAACTATACTTAATTTTATGTTAAAATTCTGTTTATTCTAAGCATTGACATGAAGGGTTATAAGTAAAGCCAGACAGAATCTGCAGAATTTGATTTTGTTATTTCTGCGCAGAATTTTTTAAAAACCTGTGGATTTATGTGGAAAGATTTTGGAAGTATCATAACTAAAAACGAAGTATATGAAATAAAAAATAATAACTTTTTAAACTTTTGTTTATTGTTTACAATGCAAATGCAATTAGATCAACTTAATTAGCAAAAAAAGCAAGTGTCTTAAATAAATCTGCGGAAATCTGCAAATTTCTGTGTGTGCAGATTTTGTGTGGGCCTAGTTTTAAGTAATTATAAACTCTTTAAAGTCTGTTAATGTCATACATTAGCTGAAAAGTCATTCTAGCATGTTATTTCCCCATTCTTATAAATGTGCAATTTTTACAACATCGTCATTATAGTTTGTAAAGGCACATTTACACATTAAAAGCACACACTGCAGTTTTGCTTTAAATGCCTGTGCCTTTTTAAAACATGATGGATTCTGACTGGCTATCCATATTCATCAGGGGGAAATCATTCTGAAAGTGTTTCCAAGCAATACTGTTACTGTTATAGCTGTGCTGTGGATGGCAATGCTGTTTATTGTTATTTATTTGTGATTTTAGAAACATCTTTATCATTTATCATAAAAAAATGCTATTAAGAGCCATATTTCTAAAACTAACTTCCATGGTGGTTGTCTGTACAATCAGCATGGGAAATATTAAATCCTATTTACTATTGTCTGTTTAGAGACTGTTTGTTCTGTAGCCAGTAAATATTGCCTAGTTACTTTTCAAACACAATGTAGTTATTGTCTTTCCTGTGAACGGTTCTTGTTATTCATGCCTGCTATGAACTGTCGTAATATGACATAGCATTGCTATAGCAGATCCTTAAAGATAGTTTCGCTGAGCGTTTCTATACTTCTATTTTAAAATCAAATCGAGTCCAAATGTTATGTCACGATCACCGGCTATCCGTGTAGACTGAATTGCTGGTGATTGTGACATTATGTAAGGGATAGAATACATGTACTGTAAGTGGTTGTTATTGCAGAATAAAGTCTGACAGTGCTGTCCGCCTGTGTGTAACATTGCAAAAACAACCTGAATGTACTTTATTCTGCTTATTACTTACCGCAAAATCTAAACATTACACACAAAACAATGTTCTGAGCTGATTTTTTTATTCTTTAATTAAGGGGAAAGCTAACAAAAATGAAAATGGCTGAATGGAGCTGATGGAGTATACACTAACCGGCGTATAATTAACGATGACAAATAAGCATAGATATGCATTTTAACTTATTCCCTTATGGTCAAAATGATTGTACATAGATGAGCTTATGTTATTAGTTTCAGGAGTTGTTATCTCGGAAAAAACTATTTAACTATCAAAATCAAGTGTAACAATACAGATCTGAAGCATGTAATATACTGATATAATACATGGGTAGTTGCATCCTGCTTTATGCGCTACTATTTTTAACTTGCAGTTATTTTTACACTTGCCTTCTCCTACTGTTCCCTTGCATGTTCTGAACCCTTTCTTTACTCTTTTCTTCTTTCATTCACTCACAGTTCTCAAACACAACCCCTCACTGTTGCTCAGCAGATTGTCGGGCTGCCTAAATTTGAGCCACCTGATTTTTGGCCCAGTCCAGATCCCTCCTCTGGCCCCAGACTCATAAAATGTGAAAAGCATCCACTCCTTGGACGAGAACATCCTAATGACCCGTACAACGTTTCTGCCGACATCCTGCCTGATTTGGAAAATGATGATATGTTTACACGGCGCACAAATGCCTTCCACTCGAGCGATGACCTGGCCAAGCTGAAGTATGGAAACTTCCTTGTGCCTCGCCGTAGATCAGAGGCAGATGTCACGGTGGTAATTCAGCCTCATCACGAGGGCGAACCCGTGTATCCTGACATTGAAAAAGACGATGTGGTTTCTAGAAAAGTTCAACAGCAAATCAGCCATCGCCCTCTGTCCGGGGCCCCTGATAACTACCACCCTGTTCCTATTCCAGAAACATGGGCTTTACCACCTAAACTGCAGGCCAAGCTGATGAGTGACCCAACTGAACCCAGACAGAGCAGACCCAAAGCGGAGTTGAAACCGCATCTGAAAACAGACGATATGCTGCTTAGGAAGCTGAGAGCTTTAAATACCCAAGGAACGGAGGGCAGGAAAGCTGCCGGTGTTTCTTTGTCTTGCAGTGAGGATGATATGCAGAAATGGCAGGCCATCAGAGAGGCCAGTCGAGTGCGTTACCGGAAGAGGCTGATGGTGGAGAGGTTAGGTTTCTGAGCCTGCAGAGATGCCTGTGTGTGCTTGTCATCGTGAGCTCATCTGCAGTGTACTTTCTCATTCTCGTGTTAACTGTGATCTTGCACTGGCGATGGCAAATGTTTGTGAATCTGACAGAGGTTTGACTTTGCATGAGCCCTGGCTGCCACTTGATGAATGACTGTAACAGGTAGATATTTGTTGTGATTTCTATATTAAATTGTATTGGGCTGGCTTCAAATTGTTCTCTCAGTTTGTTCATTTTGTGCACAAAAGCTTGGGCCACTAAAACTAAGAACAGAAGTATTTTATGCATACAATTCATTGATATGATAACAGCATTTTGATTTTCTTTGCATATAAAAAACAACAATACTGTGCATGAGACATTGTGTTTCTTCACAATCTGACATTACCAATACTACTCTGGGGTAGAGATCTGCGCGGGACTAAATTTTGAATCCCGCTCCTGCTGTCTCCTGCCAGGTTTTAGCCCGAACCCGACCGCTCCTGCTTATTTTCAGCATTTGTTGTCCCGGTGCCCAACCCACCCCGTTTTCTACCGCCACGCCCGATCCCGCTAAAGAGCAGGGGGAGAACAAAATCGAAATCCACCCAGCTATACAGAGTCCAGACAGCCTATAACAAGCTGTCTGTATAAACACACACAAGCACCAAGCACACACACACAGACAAAGCTCTCTCTCTCTCATTCGCGTGCACACACACACACACAAACACACACACACCTCTCATTCGTGCTGTTTCAGTCACACACATAACGTTACATACGCGTGCTCGCTCGCTCGGGAGTCGGCAGCGATATTGCTAGACGGCCCGATGCCGTTCCAAATTAAACCTGTTAACGACCACTCCCGCACTTTATTCGGAAATTTATGCAGACCTCTACTCTGGGGGTGCGTTTCCCAAACAACGACATGCTATGACATTGACAACGGCATCGTACTACGATAGTACTACGATAGTTAAACTCTGAACTATACGCTAAACTATCATAGTACGATGCATCATTTGGAAAAGAACGACATAGTGACGAGTGTTTCCCGAAACCGTAGATTCCCTGTCGCAGATCCATTGTTTAAACCATGTTAGTTATAATGTAAAACGTCCACGATAAAGCTCTAACCGGGCTGGAGGAACAACTTCTTTAGAAAAAATATATATATTTTGTGCAAATTTTATTGTTTTAGACGCACACACATTTAAAAAAAAATCCAATATTAGTTTTGGTAAAAACATGCAGCCGTTTTCCATATTAATTGAAATATATGTAAATGGAACATATAGGGCCTGTGTTTCCTTTACACATATTATTGAGAATATTTCATATAAAATCATTTAGCTAACACATATTCTGATCTCAAATATAAATACGAGAAATTGTTAATGGTTGTAGGCCTAATTTACAGTAAGCTATTGACTAAAAAATAAAAAAATTCTACGTTTAAAATGGCATAAATGATTTCAAAGTGCACTACATAGAGAGTGCAACTGTCAATATGAAGATTGTACTGTTAAAAACTGTAAAATGAACTGCAAAAATATTTTGAAACCAAATTACACCTTAGAATGACGACCTAAATGTTTTTTTTTTTTTTTTAATTCATTCCAAGATTAAATGTTAGAATGTTCTAAATGAATGGGGCATCGGGGGTAACTGGGAATAGAACACAGCCAGGAACTATGCCAAATCAACTAACTATGTTTGTAATGACAGAACTTGCAACCTTAGTTGGCTAACGATTGTTTTAGGAAACGCACCCCTGGCTTACATAGTACAATGCTATGTGTCATTTCCCCCTTGAGAACAAGGTCATTTTTTACACTTTACAAAACCCTAAGGTAAATCCTTTCAGTTTATAAGTGCATTTTGCTGTCTAAACATAAACATGAGTTTTTTCCAGTATCAAGTGTGTTTTAACTAAAAGAATGTGTTTCCAGTATGAGCAGCTTAAAATAAAATAAAAGCAATCCATTACTCTTTTAAACTAATATTTGTAATCATATGTTTTTAAAATATATTTAAATAATCATATATCAAACTGTAAATATCAGATTTACACACTGTAAAGCCCAACAGTCAACTTTATCAAATGAGTGTAGTTAACTAAAAAATTTACTGAAAGTTGTTTCCACTCTTTTGAAATGAGTTTTGAAATTAATCTTGAAGGTAATTAGGTAATTTAATACCTCATTACTCCAACTTAAATGGAGTAAGTTCACAGTACTCATAGATTAGTTTTTTAATTCTAATGGTTTGTTGCAATCAGTTTCTTCAAACGGTTTAAGTTGCTTTAACATTGGTTTTTACAGTTGGTTAAAGTTCTCTTCATCTATTGGGTTTTTTTGTGCTCAAATTGCTTTGTTTACTCAAATCAATTAAGTTCACAGTACTCATTAGTATTAGTTTTTGAACTTGAGTTACCTTACTTTCATGGGTTTTACGGTGCAGGCAGCTGTTTACCCAGCTATTTATTTGTTTTTAATAAAAATTGAGATTTGGTTTTAGCGATGAATGCACTATTGTGCAGTACAGACTCCACTGGTTTAGCTTTTATTTAAGTAAAAGTCTCCTACCAGACCTGCTTAGGAGTGAGTGTATCCAGCTAAGAAATGGTGGAATAGTAAAACCTGAGCAATGTATATAAATAATCCAGTCTGACACATTCACTTTTTACAAGGCAGCTTACAATGAGCTCAAGCTTCAAATTCCCCACACCCTTGTGATCCTGTGAAAGCTGGAACTTACACTTACGTGGCCATGGTAACACACCTAACACTTGAACCTCAAGTACAGCTTTTCAACTGATCAGAGTCCATGTAATGCTGGACCATTAAAAAGAGCAACCACAGTGGGTTTGGTGGGGAATTCAACAAGTTTCCAATGATGTCATTCCACCTTAAACTGTTAAGAGTTACAGCTGACAGTTAATGTTAAGGTTTGCACATTTTATGTCAGACTGCCAGGACTGTGATCTGGGAATTAACTGAATGTTGAAGCATGACTGTATAATAAATAATCATTATGCACTTGATCGTAGCTGGTGCAGTGTGGCTAAGCTAATGACATGCAATACCATTCAACAAGCTTGAGATTTAAAGAAACAAATTAATGAATGCATTTATACAGCATGAATGTGTTTAATTGATCAAATGCAACAGTAAACACATTTATGTTTCAAAAGATTAGCATTTTAAAGAAGTATTGTTCTTTTGGACTTTCTGTTCAATATTAAATATTTTTGAAAATGTATTAAAATGTTTCTTATGTGCCAGTTCAGCATATTAGATTTATTTCTGAAGGACTGGAGTAATAATATCCGAAATTCAGCTTTGCAGTCACATTAATACATTGCAATTAAAACCATATTATCTAAAATTATATATAGTAGTGTATTAGTTCATCAGAAAGTCAATCATCACACCAGATATGACAATGTTGTTGTTGTGGTTCTCTTTTACTCTCCAGACTTTTCCAGAAAAACTCTGATAGTGAAGGGTGAGTTCTGGTCTTGTACAGGAATGGTGTGTGTGTGTTCGGTCACGCTTGCTGCGTAGGCCTTTGTTTCCCCTGCTTTCCTCTACTATATGAAGCACTGACACTTACAACGTACTCACAATGCTTTAATCCCCATTGGGCTCCTGTCCAATGTTCTTCACTGCAGAAACATTGTAGACACGGATAATACTTAATTTAATCAAAATCTGTTTAAACGTGTCATTCTGGAAAGATCCAGAGGATGAGGCACACAGGTAATTCTGTAATGAACATGTATCACATGAGTGGCAGTGATTGAACAGGACACTCATGAAATATTAACCCAATGAGTTGCCACACAGCATATGTGGTTGTCTATTATTCCAACTAACTGTGAAGAATATTCAGCACATGCCTGCTTTTACTAACACTGTTTGTTTTTTGTATTTTTGTCTTTTGTATTATTGTCTGTTATTTATGATTGCTTGGTTGACCTGCAAAGCCCAAAGTATATTTGTTTTTAATGCAAACAGTAGCACACAGACTCTCACAGTTAACTTAAGAATGTTGGTCAAAAAGGATAAAAACGTGACCAAAACAATGTGTGTATACTGTATATAATTATGATTGAATTATAAATAATTTACAGTTAAAGTCAGAATTATTCATCCCCCTGTTGATTTTGTTTCCCCAATTTCTGTTTAACGAAGAGAAGATTTTTGCAACATGTTTCTAAACATAATAGTTTTAATAACTCATTTCTAATAACAGATTTCTTTTATCTTTGCCATGATGACAGTAAATTTTGACATTTAAACAGCTTAATGTTGTTTAGGTTAAATAGGTTAACTAGGCAAGTTAGAGTAATTAGTCAAGTTATTGTATAAGGATGGTTTGTTCCGTAGACAATCTGAAAAAATATATAGCTTAAAGGAGCTAATATAATTGACCTTAAAATGGTTCTTAAAAAATTTAACTGATTTTATTCTAGCCAAAATAAAACAAAAATTTATTTATCAGACATACTGTGAAAATTTCCTTGCTCTGTTAAACATCATTTTGAAAATATTTTAACAAGAAAAACAAATTCAAAGGGTGCGAATAATTCTGACTTTAACTATATGATGATAACTATTTGGAAATTCATTCATAATTCATTCATAATTATTATTATAATTCATTTAAAATACTGGTTGTTTATGTATGGTTATTGTTTTTTAAATAAACAAACAATACATAATTTATTATAAAACAATAAATACTTTTATTATCATTATTATTTATTTATTTTTAGTAAGGTTTTGAATGTGTCAAACAACAACATGATAATTTAGATGTTAGAGCAATAAAACTTTTTTGTATTGATTTAAACTAAAGTTATGAGGTTTTTAATTGCAAATCACACAATCTCTCATCACAATTGCCACCTATTGTTTTCGCTATCTTCCACATTTTTTTTTTTTTTTTGGATTGCCTTGTGCCTTCCCATTCATTTACACTATTTTTGTTCCAATTAATGAATTGTTTCCAATTAAAAACTGATTTAGGTTGGAAGAAATGTGTGAGCTGCCCCTACAGTTCTGATAATGTGATTACCATCATGCACACTTTATATATAAGTGCACACATTACAAACAAAGTTTACTTTGGGCTTAAGACTTTAACTAAAAACCTAAATGGCTTAAATGCATTAAATATTTTTCCATCTTCCCGCATGCCTTTTTCCTTTAAAGCAGAGGTGTCAACTATAATGACTAAATGAAGCCCACAAAAGCAGTTAGAATGACTCTATATTAAAGATATTGAGAAAAAAATGTCGGTGGTTTTGTATATTTATTTGATTAAGTTAAATGTCACATTAGCAAGAGTGCAGTTTCTCTCATTTCAACAGCATAACTGACTTTATAGTTAAATGAACAAAAAATAAATTAATATTAGAAGGTAGTTCTTTGCATAAATAAGTTCACCCCATATTAAAAATTAGTTTTTTTTTCCTTTTGTCAGTGAATATATGTAATATATTTTAATATATGCTATCTACTGCGCCACTGCGTCGCCCACAATATATAAATATTTCATTTTTTTTGTCGGCTTAGTCCCTTTATTAATCCGGGGTCGCCACAGCGGAATGAACCGCCAACTTATCGTGCACATTTTTGCGCAGCGGATGCCCTTCCAGCTGCAACCCATCTCTGGGAAATATATATTGGGGGTGACGTGGTGGCCAAATGGGTACCACGTTTGCCTCACAGCAAGAAGGTCGCTGGTTCGAGCCTCGGCTGGGTCAGTTGGCATTTCTGTGTGGAGTTTGCTTGTTCTCTGTACATATTTATGCTGAGCACTGTAGATTTTAAACACAACACTTTCTGTTTTTGCAGTTTTACCATTAAAGATGGTTCCAAGCAAAGTCAGAGGAGATCTCTCTCAGTCCAACAGTATTTTTTATTCTGAATAATTCTTGAAATATTCTTAATTCCTAATTCTATTGAGTGAGTGGTTCAGTGATTTATTTATAATGGCAGCAGTGTCTCACTAATCAACACACACTTTTACACTGTTCTTATGCCCTATATACACTTAACTATCTAATGTTTGAAAAGTTTTCTTGTTTCCCAGTAAATTATACAGTAGCTATTGTTAATGATAATGTAATTGAGAGCAAACAAAGCTTTAACAAAATAAATGGGGAAATTTTGTCCAATCTGGCCCTCAACCTAAAATGGGTTTGACACCCCTGTCTACCATTAAGAATTAATCTGACTTCTAATAACTATCTTTTAAACCTATCTATAGGAGCAAATCAGTGAGCGACATTACAGAAAGTGAGATGAGCAACTCTACGATGGAGTTGCGTCTTGAGGAGCTGCAGAAGATGCGTAACCGTTTGAAGGAGAGTGAGGATAAGTGGCAAGATGTGAGTGTCAGATCACAAGATTTTGTTATCATTAATGTTTATGAATGCAGCTGTTTGACCTGTGATTTAATAGAAGTAACATTTCCTTATTATAAGGTATTTGCCTGTGAATCCTCCCACACTATTCATTGAGAAGTAGTTTTGAACAGTTCAGTAATGCTCTCTGGTGTGAATGTACAGTAGTTGGCGTGAGCTTCAGTACAAAATGTAGGTCGTATACGGACCCCTGATACACATGGGGAAAGGAGTTGGGTGGAGCCAAAGAGGCAAAATAGGACACTGGCAAAATCTAGTCCTCCCTCACTCTTCAATCTGTCCCCATGTCTCTCTACCCTTCCCTGCACTGTCCCTCCTACTGTTACTGCTAATGAATAAGCACCTGTGCTCCAGTTAGTTATGGAGGCTGAGCGTCTTTCTCTCAAACTTGCAGGATCTTTCAAGGTGGAAGAGTAAGCGCAGGAGTGTCAATTCTGACATTGTCAAGAAGAAAGAGGAGCGAGAGCAGATCGAGCAGATCACTTCAGTTGGCACCAGGAAATCAAAAACCTTCAAGGAGATGCAGGATGAGAGGTGAGCTTTCATTCCTTCAAATTAGGCTGAAGCTGACATTTTAATTGTATTTTGTTTCTCAGTTTTTTATATACATTTTTGTAATTTAGTTTTTAATTTTAGCTTTCATTTTATTGTATTTTATATTTATTTTTAGGTGACATCTACTATTTATTTTTATTTTAATTACATACAGTATTGATTCAAAAATGTTGCTGTTTAATTTCAGATTTGAGTTGTGATTCACTATTATCTAAATGCTTGCGGTCAGTGTTTGTGTCATTCTGCTCTCTGCCGAAAGTGTAGTCTGTTCTACTTTCATCTGCTCGGTGTAAAAGTGTAATCTAATCGCAGTTCTTGTCTTGCCTCCCTCCCTCGCTCCTTCCCCTTTTCAGAGAGAGCAGAGGGCAAAGCAACTTAAGGGACAGCTTTAACTCCATCGTTGATGATGTCTTTGAAGATCCTGTTCCCCGAAGCAGAACTCTGCCCCCACGTAGCTACACCATTGACACTCCTTACACAGCCACAGACAAACCCTTTGTACCCTCCATACCGTCACTCAGAGAAAAGGAACCTGTGGCTGGAACCCTGGCATCAGATCAGACAGATTTATCCACCAAACCTGCTCGTGCCAGTCCTGATATCCCAGATAAAATTAATAATAGCAATCAGATGAGCCAAACAACGACCCAAAGTCTTCTGGACGATCCCGTTCCTGCTTTTTCCAACAGCAGCACTAGCCTGATTAAGCCAGCCAGTGCCACCAAGCCCACCAGCAGCACTAAACCCAACATCTCGGAGTTTATAAGCAACACTAAGCCAGCTGAAAGCTCCAGTGACGCCATTAGCTCATTGTATAAGCCCAATTCAATGGATACAAAGCCGTCTGGGCTGGATCAGGTTTCTGCCTCCCTCCCGAAGATCTACCAGAGATCAGATAGTGCAAGACTCACCTCTGTAGTCATGCCCAGGCCATTCGGCACACAGTCCAACAGAATTGCCTCCCTTCCCAGAGCGTTCACGGTGAGTGGCTCTGTTTGCTCTCAAACATCATGACCTGTTCAGATGGCTTTCTTCAGAGTAATGCTCTATAAGAACTGTCTGTTACCTGCCAGTGCAGTGTGATCAATTTTCAATGAAGTACAGATCTAATTGCGATTAGATTAAAGGGGTTATAAGTATTTTTTGCACCAATTTGTGAACAGCTTGTAATAGAACAAATCCCTCTTTGATTGCCTACATTGTCTGATGTCTATAATAGCCTTATACACATAAATACACAAATATTTTTATGTAAAGGACATTTTTTTCAGAAAAAGCAAAAAAACAGGCTTTGATTTGTCAAATTTTCTTAACCATTCAAATTTAGTTTTCTTATTATTTTTTTGCATTTCTTTTATAATTATTTGTAATTTTGCGAAGAGTGAAATTGCACAACACATAGATGCATATTCAGCTTAATGCAGATTTGAGGGTGTCAGGTTACAACTGAAAAAGGTATTTCTAGTTTCAGTGTCTTGCATGTTGCATGTGGGAAAGTGAACAGAAGTGATATGTTGTTGGCTGCAGTTCAGTTAACCGCCACTGATATCGCTAATAACAAGATTTTCTGATTCTAGGTACAACCCCTTCAAAAGTCCTACAGAGTGCAACAGTTTGGTTCTGGGCGTGAAAATCGCATATTTATGTTTCTAATATTATTACATGCAAACAAAAGACAACATTTATATATAATATGTTAAATGATTCTTTTGAGCATTAATGGAAAATTAATGGAAAAAAACATTCAGAACCAAGGCTGCTGGGAAAAGTTGACAGTTACTATTGCATGCCATTTTTCTGTTTTAGCTGTTTAGTATTTAAAGATCAGACCAGTTCTGCTTTATTTAGTGTAACTGCAAGTAATCAATATATCTCAAGCACTGAAAAGGTCAAAAAACTTATATGGCTTCATTAAACTTTTTAGATGGATGACTCTGTTAAACGCACAAATGGAGAGAGCAACAGCCTTAAGAAAACGGCAGTTCAAAACCGCTATGCTCAGTACATGACAGATGAAGACAAGTCCCAGCAAACCCCTGATCACAGCAGCGAAGAAGAGGAAGTGGAGAGAACCCAATCTCCTGTCCCTCCGGTCAACAGGGTATCCCCCTTGCCCAAATCTACATCCCCACTCAACCCTCCCAATGAGGTCAGAGGATCTCCACAACTCAATTTTATTCAATTATCTAAAACCAAAATCCATAAAGATTTTAACCACTGTATATGCAGAACTGATATATCTTTTATTTTTAACAAATCATTGTGAGTAAATGAGTGAGTAGATATTATATTATGGATCTCCCATCTAATAATCACAAGAAGCATTCATTTACTGAAGAAATATATTCTAGAGAAGAAGATTTCTTTAAATATATTTTGAAATAGATATAGGCTATAGATAGCCTTTATTCCTTACACTTTACTTAATCTTCAAGTGATGTCTTGGTTATTAAAAATTTCAACAAATTTGTGATAGAGTATTATATTCCAACATTGAATTGGAGTAGATGATTTTAGATTTAGAAGTGAATGAAAAAACTGCCTAAAATGTAAGGTATGTGCTAGCATACAAATTGATATATTTATATTGATTATTATTATTATTAGAAGTAGTAGCAGAAGTAGTAGTTGTAGTATTAATATTATTATTAGTAGTAGTTCTTTTAATATTAATTTTATTATTATTATTGGTTTTCGTAATAGTAGTAGTAGTAGTTTTAGTAGTAATTGTAGTAATAGTAGTAATAATATTAGTATTAGTATTACTAGTAGTAGTTGTAGTTGTAGATGTAGGTGTTGTAGTAGTATTAAAATGACTGTTATTATTATTAGTAGTAGTAGTAGTTGATTTTGTTGCTGTTGTAGTAATTGTAGTAGTAGTATTAATGTTAATATTAGTAGTAGTAGTAGTTGTTGTAGTAGTATTCATTCATTCATTTTCTTGTCGGCTTAGTCCCTTTAATTATCTGGGGTCGCCACAGCGGAATGAACCACCAACTTATCAAGCATATTTTTATGCAGCGGATGCCCTTCCAGCCGCAACCCATCTCTGGGAAATTATATTATTATTATTAGTAGTAGTAGTAGTAGTAGTAGTAATTAGTAATTAGTAGTAGTAGTAGTAGTAGTAATATTATTAGTTGTATTAGTAGTAGTTGTTGTTGTTGTAGTTGTAGCAGTAGTAGTATTAATATTATCACTAGTTGTTGTTGTCGTTGTAGTAGTAGTATTAATATTATCATTAGCATTAGTAGTAGTTGTAGTAGTAGTAGTAGTAATATTATCATTAGTTTTAGAATTAATAGTAGTTGTAGTAGTATTAGTATTATCATTAGTAGTAGTAGTAGTAGTAGTAGTAATAGTAGTAGTAGAGGTGGTGATAAATTCAATTTATTTTTCATTGTAACAAATTATAATTGACACACTTTCAAAAAAAAATCTCAAAGAAATCATTTATAGTAAACAAGTGTTTTATTTTCTAAATAGATCTGAACTGTTTGCTTTTTTCAGGTGGGCTACAATGAGATGAGGATCAGCCTGAACCAGAAGCCCAACAGCAGTCGAGACTTCGGCTTCCAGCATGACTGGGACTCCACAGGTGTCCGTGTCAAATCTGTTGCTCCGGGTAAATGATACTGTTATGGAATAATTTTTTAAATGTCAAAGTTGTTCTCATGTCAGCATGGTGACTAAGTGGTTAGCGCAGTTTCTTCACACCAAGAATGCTGTTGGTTCAAGTCCTGGCTGGATCAGGAGGGGATGCTTTCTTGGGATGCAGCCTTGTTGATGCAAGCTGAGACTGCATATCTCAGAGATGAAGATATGAATGGGAGAAAGCATGGGTGTTTCCCAGCACTGTGAGTGGCGTTGAGGCTGGAAAGGCATCCGCAGTGTAAAACAAAAACCAGAGTAATTGGTGGTTCATTCCACTACGGCGACCCCTGATAAATTAGGGAATAAGTCGAAGAAAATTGAGCGAGTTAAGTTTTCTCATGTACAGGTCAGTGAATCAGTGAAGCAGAAAGTACAGGTTTTACCTGCAGCTTCAGAGAGCGTCTGCTGCTCATGTGTGTTGCTGACACAGAATGTAGGACATACTGTACATATTTTATTTTCAGTATTGTAAATATTATCTACATGTCTGACCATTTCCCAGCACGGGGGTTGCAGCTGGAAGGGCATCCGCTGTTTAAAACATATGCTAACTAATTTGGCGATTGATTCCGCTGTGCTGACCCCTGATGAATAAAGGGACTAAACCAAATGAAAATGAATGAATGAATAAATGAATGATTAAATGTCTGACCGTGTGTGTGTGTGTGTGTGTGTGTGTGTGTGTGTGTGTGTGTGTGTGTGTGTGTGTGTGTGTGTAGGCAGCCCAGCAGAGTTTGGTCAAGTGCAGGCTGGAGATGAGATCCTAACAGTGAATGGACACAGGGTGGCAGACATGAGCTACAGTGAGTGGAAGAACAGTATGGAGGAGGCCCTGCAGCAGGGCAGTCTACTTATGGACATCCGCAGACAGGGAAAGAACAGTAAGTACCCAACAACTGAACTTCTGAGTAATTGAACAAGTTCCCCCGCTGAAATAACATCTCCAGTCACATTCAATTCATTTGTCATTTTAAAAGAAAATATTTTTTCTAAAACAAAGATCTCTGGAGTATGTTTTTTATTACTGTTAACTGCTTGCGGTTCTGTTCTAAATGTTTTTTTTAATGGGTGAACTATTCTTTTAATGCCTATACCTTTACCTGGCCTGATGTCTACAGTATGTTTATATTGTTTAAGATGTATGTGTCTTTCTAAAAGCTGTCAGTGGAGTGGTACTAGTTCCAGAGGTACATGTTTGTACCTAAAGGGTTCAGATTGTTAAAAGTACATGTTAAAACATAGAGCTTTCATATTTGCACCTTAAAGGTACAGTTCACCGAAAATGAATATTTTCTCAGCATTTACTCACACTCCAATGGTTTTATGAGTTTCCTTCTTCTGTTGAACACAAAACAAGATATTCTGAAGAATACTGTAAAAAAGCAGCCATTGACTTCCATAGTATTTATTTGCTTTTTTCAAACAGGTTTGGAATAAGTGAGGATGAGTAAATGATGTCAGAATTTTCATTTTTTGTTTAAACTGTCCCTTTAAAGTACAAGTATGTACCTTATAAAAAGATACTGCCTTAATGACAGCTTTGTACCTTCATTTTTGAGTGTAGCGTGCATTTTCTATTTCTCAAGTTCTGTATGTGGATATTTTCAGTGGTTAATTTTTTCGGTGTTTACTAACAGGGTTATGGTTTGTGACTTCATTTGTCACACAATCAGAAGGCATCTGTAAGCTTGTTGGTAAACCTGGTTTGTGGAGCTGTTTCTGACTGCGTGGCAGGGGAAGGTGGTCTGTCTTTCATCCCCACTTTTTTTAGAAACATTCAGTTTTTAGTGTCTGTCTGTACAGTAGTTGCGTATCTGTTTCCATAGTTTGCTAATTGTTTTTTAAATGAATGGTTTTGTTGACATGCTACAATCAGACTGGGGCAGAGACCTACCTTCCCTTCCATATAAAAGCCATAAGACCATCAATCTGACCAGTCTGGATCCTCTAGGTCCCTCCGAGCCATATCACACCACCAGCCTGGACTTCACATCCCAACAATCCAAGGACGCCGTTGTGAAATCTGTCAACGTCAGCTCACAGCCAGCTTATGTGAGCAGACTACAGTTGATTTCACTTACTAATGATAACCCATTTTAAACTGATTTATGTTAAAGTGTTTGTTCAGGCCAAAATGAAAATAATCTCTCGTCATTTACATGCTCAAATGTTCCAAACCCATAATACTCTTGTTCATCCTCAGAAGGATTTATGTTTTTCCAGTGAAAGTCTGTTCACCCTAAACTCTACTGCTTTAAAACATTCATAAAGAGATAAAAATAAATAAATAAATAAATCCTCATGAATCAAGCAGTTTTATCTTTTGAAGAGTCTCCATCTCTTTATGATTCACAGATCACAGAATGTCTTGATCAGTGCACATAAAGAAATTTCGAAAAAACAAAACAACAAAAGCATTTGAATCTAGGAGCGACCAAAATTGTCATTCTGTGTGTGTACAATCATGACTCATACACACGTCACGTGTTTGGTATCTGCTCTTTTAGATAAGAATGCAACAATGACCAAACATTTGTTTGTTCTGCAGTTTTAATTAAACACTGTTACATGAGATGTTTTGTTTGTTATTGACTTCTTTTCAGAGAAAGTTTTTGATATGTTTCCCTGGTTTGGAACAAAAGAGTTTTGGGGCTATTTGTTTGGGCTTTGACCATAAAGCAATCATGTTAATGAAGTGAACAGATGCAGGTTACTAATTATACTGATAATCTTTTTTTCTATTCTAGTTTTAATGTTTAATCTATTAATTTTATTCTTATAAAAGTAATCTTGGATTTATTTAGTTTTATAATGAGTATAATTGGCGTGTTCGTGTTTCTGGCAACACAATGACTCAAGCCAAGGCTTGTACTTTTTTTGCACATACAAAAGAGAAAAATCTCTGAAATGCATTTAAATACACCATTAACTATTTGGTAGTTGAAAAAAAAAAGTTAAAAAACCAACCCTGCAGGCACAGAACATCAACATGACATCATATTGATGTTGTACCCCAACGCACCCCAACGTTATGGGGACGCTGGATTTTGATTTGCAAGGAAATGGGGTTGACGTCAGAACCCTAAGTCAGGCCTATGTCAATGTCCAATCTAAAATCAACCTAAAATCAACCAAATATCAATGTGTTATTATGTTACACCTTGACGTTGTGTGGACGTTACCACTATGACATCTATTAGACGTTGGATTTTGGTCACTTTCCAACACAACCTACAATCAACCAAATATCAAAATAATTTGGCATTGGAATTGGACTTTAGTATGTCCTTAGAAATAACGTTGTCCTTAGACACTGACTAGACATTGAATTTTGGTCACCTGATGTCATGACCTAAATCTAACCTAATATACACTTGATGTTATGTGTCTGCTGGGAATATCCTCAAAATGACAGGACTGTGCACTGAAAGGTGAACTGACATCCAAATGTATATGTAAAATGTGTGTGGACAAACAGAAACTTAACCATACTAACCTAATTCAATCTGTTCCAAAAGCAGAATGAATGTAAAAGTACACTCACCAGTTACTTTATTAAGTACACCTTACTAGTACCATGTCGGACACGCTTTTGCCTTCAGAACTGCCTGAATCCTTCATGGCATAGATTCAAGACGGTACTGGAAATATTTCTTAGGGATTTTGATCTATATTGACATGATAGCTTTTTGTTTGTTTGTTTGTTTGTTTGTTTGTTTTCATCTGCTTTCAAGTGTTTTGAAGTGTGGGAAGGTTTAGGTGAACAAACTTTTGATAGGGGACAGCCGGGACAAAAATCACTGATATTTGATTTAAAAAAAAAATCTTCATTTTCTGAAGATCCACATTTCTTATGGGTTCATAGAACATAAGATTGAACATAAGTAAATGACAGAATTTTACATTTTAAATGAACCCTTTAATTTCATTATACTAACAAATGACCTATTATTTCACAGAATCATGGCTCAAATGGGATTAATGGTGCTTTCCGTGAGGATTCAGAGAGTGTGAATAATAAAGGTAAGTTGCTTTTTCTCTGTTAATTGACTTGAAACATTTGCAAAGTTTGTAATTTGCCTTGATTTATTAAATGCATGTTGTGCAGGAAATGTGAAAATGTGTTAATCTTGCTCAGAGATTGTTTAATAGCTTGACAGGAATGCATTTTCTTATTAACCTTAGTAAAACAATGATATAGGTAATATATAAATGATGATATAGGTTTTTCGAACACAGCACACACTGTTTATACACTTTAAAGTTTGTATTCCTGGAAAGCAGTGTGGATAAAGAGTTCCCCAGGGCACCTGGAACTTTTTTCCTTTGTAAAAGTTGACCTTTTCTAACATTTTTATCTCCCATATAGAATCCATTTCTTTGAAAAACTTAAAAAGGAGATCAGAGTTTTTTGAACAAGGTAACATTGCTGGTGTGTTTAGGCTTTGTGTTTTGGGGGCTGTGGGTAAACCGCTAAGTCTTCATCCTGCCATCCTCCTCCTCTCCTGTCTGTAGCTGAAGCTCGTCATAACCTCTATGCTCTTCCTTCAGGCTCTGCAGGGCTCACAGTCAGTTCTCTGGTCTACCTCTGTGGTAAAGGGGGTTGAGTGTGCAGTGTTCACATCCATCTCAAACTCTGGCATGCTGTCTTTAGAAGCCTGAGTATGTGAAAAACAACAGTACAGAGTAGCAAATTCATCTAATAATAATCATGTACACACCCTTATGTTGTTCCAAAATTATTACGTCCACTAAACACTCACCCAAAAATGTCTGAAGACTGTTTCCATACTCTTTCTATGTAATGACAGTTAATGGATCTTCCATCTGTAGGGTTCAGCTTAATAATTGCCTTAGCCACGTCAGAGGATCATTTGTAAATCCAGCTGATTCTTGAATAAATTATTCAGACTGGTGAACCAGATCTGCTGATTCATATTTAACTCAAAATAATTATTCCTTTATTAATCAGATATGTTAGGGCAGCTCAAGATTTTTACTGAATGACTTCTTGAATGTTTGCTTGATGTAAATATTGTTAGCCAGCTATTTTCTGACAAAAATGTACAGTATATTCATATACATACATATGCATACGTGTAATAAATAATGTTTTGTGAATGAGAAATTATGACATTGGCTGAAGATGGTATAAATTATTCATTTTTATTATTTCTAAAATCATTTATTTTAGCTATATATATATATATATATATATATATATATATATATATATATATATATATATATATATATATATATATATATATATATTAGGGATGTAACGGTATTGTAAATACCGTCATACCGCAATATTAATTTTTTTCGATATTACCGAAGTCGCATGACTCGGTAAAACTATAGGTCTTCTGAGAAATTTTGCTCAGGCGAATAAAGCGAACGGAAGGTAACGAAAACTACAATTGCCATCAGCCCATGCTTGACCATCATCCCTTGCGGTCTGTTGTTGCTACAGATCCAGTAATGCGGAAATGGAGTGTGCTGCTAGAAGCGGGGATGAAAAGAGCTGGAAAACTCTAAAGCAGGTCGCACACCAGAAGCGCCGCTCGGCGCCGCGACACGGCGCGTACATGACAGATTAAAGTACGCGCACATTCGAATGATATTTAACATGAAACTAATCAGATGGCGCTCTGTGGCGCGGCTGAAAAATGAACTGCGTCCTGAGCCGTCGCCGGGCGCCGCCGACAGCCGCCGACTTGCGGCGCCGGTGTGTGTATCCTGATAGAAACCTATGATTAGAATTCTAAAATACGTGGCGCTGCGCGGCGCGCCGCCGAGCGTCGCTTCTGGTGTGCGACCTGCTTTACACGCACAGTTCAGTCCTGCATTATCTCCGTGTAAGTTCAGACTTCGCAAGTTTGATCAAGGCTGCAGTCTCTTCTTCTCAGTTTGATATGGAAAAGCAGATTATACCGAGGACACGGGTAAATCTTCAAAGGGAACAGTGTACTTTATAACTTCATTCACATCACCCTGGCTTCGTTGTTTCACTTTCTCAACAATAAAATGTAAACATGATTTAAGGAACTGCCTATTTTCATTTTAATATTAGCAACTTAGACAGCAGAAATGTTGAGGCGCCGTGCTGCATGAGCCTCATCTTCACTGTGTGGATATTTATAACAAAACGAAGCCGATAACAACTGCCTCCTTTCAATTTCAGTGAAAATACGAAACACAGCCTCTCTTTTGCTGAATATCAGTTTTAAGAATCGATAATGGCCATTTTAAAAGTATAACATACAATAAGTTTTTACATTATAGGAAATAAAGGCAAGCGATCAGTCAATATACAGAATGTACGTGGTTACATTAATCATTAACTTATCTTTGCGCTCAGCCAAAACACGTTACCTGAGAACAAGTAATAGATTCCAATGCCCAAAGTCAGGGAATATGTCGTTAGATAAAGACAACAAGATAAATGAAATATCCCGTTTAATAAATATAGTGAGATTAGATCCAGCGGGAGATGCTTGATGAGAAGTCCGACTAGCAGAGCTCTCATCTGGGTAGAGTGTGATTAAATGTTGAATGTGATGAGTTTTCAACAATACTTAATTGAAACTTTATTTTTTTACATGGTTTAATAATTTTTTGTTATTAAAATTGAAGTTCCTGTTTCAAAGCTTACAGATAGATGGCTAATTTGTATGTCATTGACACTTTTGGCACTTTTTTGGAGTATTTTCATAAGTTTTGTTTTTTCCTGTAAATGATTCAATAAATACCGTACCGTGACATTCATACCGAGGTATTACCGTACCGTGAAATTCTGATACCGTTACATCCCTAATATATATATATATATATATATATAATTTATAAGATTGTCTTGGCAACTGAAAAGTAAAATTACTAAATAAATAAATAATGATTCAACAAATAAAAGGTAATTTACCTTTTTTATAAAAACACAAATGTTCAATAAACATCTTGTAAAAAATATGAATGCATAAGGTAATAGTAAAACTACATTTTGAAATGACATTAGGGTGAGTAAATAAAGAAATAAATTGCTTTAAATTGGTATTTCCCACATTGTCAATAATTATTGTCAACCTGCATAAAACATTGGTTGCTGTTGGTGTATTGACACACTAAAATTTATTGATACTGTATATGATTGAAGTATATCATGCTTGTAGGCCTCTAAAAGACAGCATGACAGAAACCATACCAACATTCAAAGCACTCTTAATGAATATAAGAAACTACATCATCGAGATTTTTAAAAATGTTACAAAGTTAGCTTATTCTATTACTATAATTTAAAGGATTTTCTAACAGGTATAAATGAAAGGGTGCAATATATGCCAGATACCTACCTTTTCTCAAGTCAGTCTTGACTGTAGGCACAGCTCAGGGAAAAGAAAACAGGAATGAGTGTGAAGTGCGTTGGTATTGTGTTGTGAATGTAAAATGCGCATGAAGTGCTGGGCATGGATGTGGGGTTTGGTCTTACTAACAGTCAGCGCTTCTGCATGTGGTATTGCATTTGGAGACTGGCCGAAGCTGTTTATCTTTGGGATGTGTTTTGCATTATTCATTGGGTCGTTCATTGACGTTTCTGCATGTGTTTGTTTACCAAAGTCATTGCATGTGGTTCCAAGAGAACATTTATTTTTTTAATCTGTACTGATTTCTTATTTTAGAGGATTTTATTGTATCAGACATTGTGATAGAATGATAGTTGTGTTTTACCTTCACGCTACAATGAAAGATTTCATTTGAATATAGGCTGCATTTTATCTTTTGAAAAGTATCTGATTGTAGCTGTTTTTGCAGGTGGATCTGAAACACCGATTTTAAATGTAAGTACAACTGAAAATGTTTTTCTTTTATTCTAAACAATGTTTTTTATTTAGATAGTTCAACTAGTTTTAAACTCCCACCTGTGGTTCTGTATACAGTACATTGAAAGCTAATTAAATGCAAGCAAACTGTCATTAATACAAATAACATTTGTCTAAATAAAATGTCAAAATATGAGCAAAAAATATAAGCATAACAGATATATTTTTATAAAAATGAAAAACCATACCTATTTTGACCTGTACTCATTAAATATTTCACTAATATATTATAAATATTATAATACTATTAAATAATTTTATAATTATATCAAATAATACACAATCCTACTGTATTTTAAAGGATTATCTGTCATCAGATGATTCTAAATATGCATTTTGGTGTTTGAAATGAATTTAGAAATTACACTAAACTCTACCATAAGAATACTACACACTTTCTTACATCTGTTTAAGCAGCATCGTGTGCTTTATTCATTTAGAGGTCAAATATGTTGAGTGGCTTCTGGCAATTTTTTATTTTTATAGCAGAAGGGCCAAAATGTCTTTATAAGTAACAAAGATTTTCAACCCTTGGCCTAACTGATGTTGTTTACAAAGCAAACATAAGATGCAAAAAAGATACTGAAGCAACCATGCCATTAACTCTAATTTCTCTACTTTGGTCAACCCATGTGTCATTTGAGAACTTGACAATTGCAGTGCTTTCAGGCTGTGTTGCACTGTATAATAAAGTTAATTAAGTTCACTTATCAGCGTTTACAAATTTAAGTGGATTAAACAAAACAAACAAGTTATCACCAAAAAAACTCAATAATTGTGCTGTTTTAGCTTATTTTGAATAAGTAGTTTGAACAAACAGCAAACGTTTTTTTTTTTTTTTTTTTTTTTTTGAGTGAAAGATATTTGATCTGTCCAATGTTTGCCTTAAGTAACTTAAAGAGTTGTGTGTTTGTATAGGTTCCAGTGCCCTCCATCACTGCATCCACTACACGCTGGTCCTGGGACCCAGAAGAAGAGCGCAAGCGACAGGAGAAGTGGCAGAAAGAGCAGGATCGTTTGCTGAAGGTCAAAATCACATTTGCTTTTACATTGAGTTTAAATGTTCATGTTGGGTGAGAGAGAATAAATAAAGTAGCAATTGAATATGTGAGTTTAATATTGTCTCTAGTTCCTCAACATTAGTTTTGGAGGATATGTTTTTCTGCTGATGCAAGGCATGCTGATTTTTTGTTTCACTAATGCAAGGCATGCATTTATTGTGGGGTTTTCTGAATGCAGAACTTTTTTTTGCAATTAAATGCTGTTTGTTTTGAGCATTTTAAATTTAGTTGATAAATAATTGTAGCAGTTATTCATTTCAATTGTTTCTCTGAAAACAAATTCATTGTTTTCTTAATAAATGATTTCATCTTCTCACTCTTGTTTACCCTTGCTCTTGATGTTGCAGGAGAAGTACAAAAAAGACCAAGAAAAACTTGACGAGGAGTGGAAAAAGGCACAGCAGGAGCTTAACAAGGAGAACTTCAAAAATGATGAGGTACATAGGAGTATGATTGCACACAAAAATGACAGTTCAGTTCATCATATGCAGATGTCTAAACAGCATAACATATAGTAAAGGATTGTCTACTACTATAGTAAAAATCGTTGAAAAAACTATTTAGTAAAAATAGTCCAAACTAATATTTATATTTTAAGGGGAAACTCGATATTGCGCTTACTACTTAAAGGTTCTGTTCTGGTAAAAGTCAAATTATGCCACATATTATTTTTCTGAAAGTGTGGTGATATTACATTTAAAAAAAGCTGATTAGTTGACTTTATTTAAAAAGTCAGTACAATCATTGCTTTTAAAGCGCATAGTTAAACCTTGTCGCCTTAAACAGATTAAATATATGAACTGTGCATAATTATAACAGTTAAGTGAACTTAACAGTTTGAAGTTACAATGACTTTATTCACTTTTAACATAAAATGAACTTTACTTGAAATAACACTTTTTATAAAATAACTTTTTTAAGTAAATAATCACAGTTTAAAGTGTACATTAAAAATAACTAATATCTTGTCTTGTGGAATTTTTTGTAAACATCTCAAGGCATGCAAATAATTGTTTTAAATTCATTAATTTTGTCTGGAATAGTATCTAAAAGTACATTCACCGGTCACTTTATTAGGTACAGCATACTAGTACCGGGGTTGGACCACCTTTTGCCTTCAGAACTGCTTTAATCCTTCATGACATAGATTCAACAAGGTACTGGAAATATTCCTTAGAGATTTTTGTCCATGTTGACATGATAGCATCATGCAGTTGCTGCAGATCTGCGGGCTGCACATCCATGATGCAAATCTCCCATTCCACCACATCCCAAAGGTGCTCTAATGGATTGAGAACTGGTGACTGTGGAGGCCATTTGAGTACAGTGAACTCATTGTCATGTTCTAGAAACCAGTCTGAGATGATTCACACTTTATGACATGGTGCGTTATCCTGCTGGAAGTAGCCATCAGAAGATGGGTACACTGTGGTCATAAAGGAATGGACATGGTCAGCAACAATACTCAGGTAGACTGTGGCGTTGACACAATACTAAGGAGCCCAAAGTTTGCTAAGAAAAAATACCCCACTCATTACACCACCACTCAGCCTGAACCATTGATACAAGGCAGGATGGATCCATACTTTCATGTTGTTGATGCCAAAATCTGATCCTACAATCTGAATGTTGCAGCAGAAATCTAGACTTTTCAGACCAGGCAACGTTTTTGGTGAACCTATGTGATTTCTAATCTCAGTCTCCTGTTCTTAGCTGACAGGAGTGGCACACAGTGTTGTGCGTTCAGAGATGCTCTTCTGCATACCTCGGTTATAACAAGTGGTTAATTGAGTAATTGTTGCCTTTAATCAGCTCAAACCAGTCTGGCCATTCTCCTCTGACATCAACAAAGCATTTGCGCCCACAGAATTGCAGCTCACTGGATATTTTCTTTTTTTTTTTGGATCATTCTCTGTAAACCCTAGAGATGGTTGTGCATGAAAATCCCAGTAGATCAGCAGTTTCTGAAATATTCAGTGCAGCCTGCCTAGCACCAACAACCATTCCACGTTCAAAGTCGCTTAAATCAGCTTTCTTTTCCATTCTAATACTTTTCCAATTCTAATACAGTTTGGACTGCAGCAGATCGTCTTGACCATGTCTACATGCCTAAATGCATTGAGTTGTTGCCATGTGACTGGCTGATTAGAAATTTGTGTTAACAAGCAGTTGGACAGGTGTATCTAAAAAAGTGGCCAGTGAGTATTTATGAGTTGCGCTGTCAAAAACTAAATGTATTTTGTTATTATTTCTGTAAAACAGGAGCTGAACAGACACTCTCTGTCCACCATCAGACAACCTACTGTTTCATGGGAAGAGCAGAATGCCTCCAAACTGGCCCAAATAGAAGAAGACAAAAAGAAAAGACAAGAGGAGATGCAGCGTTTAGAGGAAGAGAGGAGAAAACGAGAGGAAGAGATGCTGCGTTTACAGGAAGAGAGGAGGAAACAGGAGGAACAACAGCGTCTTGAGGAGGAGAAGAGGAAGAAAGAAGAAGAGGAAAGGAAGAAACAAATAGAGGAGAAGCAGCGTTTAGAGGAGGAGAGGAGGAGGAGAGAGGAACAACAGCGTCTGGAGGAACTGAGGAGGAAGAGGGAAGAGGAACAGCGCCTCCTTCAGGAGAAAGAGCGGAACAGAAGAGAGGAGGAGAAGAAGAGATTTCAGGAGCAAGAGTGAGTTTCTGTGGTTTCATTATTTGTGTTACACTGATGTGAATGTCTAATCTTCTCAAGCATGCATGTCAGATATATGATGAAATAGAACTGAATGCATGCTTGACAAATATAATCCTGCTTTAAATAACAGAAGTAACCTGACTAAACTGCCATTATCTGTGTTTGGGGCTGGGTTGTATGTATTTGTAAAGCATGTTTTAAAATTATATTTGTTATTTGTTTAATTTCTTGTTTTTCATTTGTTATAAACCTAATTATGAACATAGATCAAGCAATAAAGTCTACAAATAAATAGCTAAATGGGTGCAAAGAATTGCAAATTGCAATTCTATCTTTCTATCTATCTATCTATCTATCTATCTATCTATCTATCTATCTATCTATCTATCTATCTATCTATCTATCTATCTATCTATCTATCCAATTCATCTTTATTTCTATAGCATTTTAGTTCTATGGCATTATAGCATTCTGTTTAGTTCAGGTCATTGTGGTTTAATTTTCACTTCTAAAAATCCAAACACTGGAGAGCAAATCCATCGAGTGGCAACAGTGGCGAGGAACAAAACTTCACCAATTGACAAAAGTGAAGGGAAAAAAAACTTGAGAGAAACCAGGGTCAGTTGGACAAGACCATTTCTCCTCTACTCAAACTTCCTGTGTAGAGCTGCAGTTTTCACGCTGGTGGCTGGAAAAAACTGGACGTCCATCGTGGAGAAACTGCGGGTGTTCAGACTGGTTCAATGGATCGATGCAAAGACTCATCCGTCACTGTGGTCTTTCAGGAATCAGTCTCATTCTCTCCTCTCCTCCATGACCGCCAGCCAGCCAGCCAACCAGCCAGCCAGCCAGCCAGCCAGACAGACAGACAGATAGACAGATAGATAGATAGATAGATAGATAGATAGATAGATAGATAGATAGATAGATAGATAGATAGATAGATAGATAGATAGATAGATAGATAGATAGATAGATAGATAGATAGATAGATAGATAGATAGATAGATAGAGAGTGTCATCACGGCAAAGACAAAAGAAGTAAATTATTTAAACAATTGCTTAGTCTTCTGTAAATCAGCACTTGGAAAATATTTGAAAAAGAATAAAAAGTGAAAAGAGAGCTAATAATTTTGTCTTCAACAGTTTACTACAGTATGTGTAATTGTAATCAATGTTTTTTGTGTTATACAGTACAATGTGAAGTTGAGATTGCTATAAGATTTTCTTCCCACAATAAATCTCTCATGCTCACCACGGCTGTAATTATTTGTTGAAGAACTCAGTAAAAAATAGGTAATAATATTTAGTGTAAAACAAGTACTGGTAGTCTAAAATGATTTCAGCTAAAAGTAACTATATAATGATGAATTGTGTAGCTGTGATAAAAATACAGCATCTATGATTTAGGATTTTGGTCATAAAACCCAGCCCCAGTCCAGCGTCTTACTCATGCATTATTAACCACACTAATTTGTCTTCTATTAATGTTGTTCAATCATGTCCGTGTGAACATCTGCTTGTCTGTGCTGATTCTGCTGTTGGCCACACAGTAAGGTGGACTCCTTTTGCTATACCAATGTTTACCCTGAATTATCCTACTCACACAGGTAATCAGACTGTTTGCACTAACATTTGCACTTAACAAAGCAATGCTTTCAGGTTTGGGGCTCCTGCAGTAAAGAAACTTACATTAAGCTCTTTTCATCTGCAGGTCCATTTCCAAATCTACCCCAGAACTTGATGAAGTTGCAAAAACAGATATTAAAGGTCAGTGCAGCTTTTATCTCTTCCTTTATCTTGTTACCTGTGTCTGTTATTGGGCTGTGCTAAAGCAGGTGCTGTGTAAGAGATTGTGTGAGATCTCTGGAGTGTGTTAGTCAGATGCTGTAGGGTCTGCGGCTCTCTGCAGGTGTCTACGGCAGACACAGGGGTTTGGCAGGATGGCTGCTGGAGGAGGAACTGAGGCGAAAGAAAAACCCTCAAATGCAGAGAAAGCAGGCAGCAAGTGAGCTAGAGCTCGAGAGGAGAAGCATTCTTAATGCCATGAAATACCGAAACCCAGAAAGAGGTGTGCGCGGCTCCAAACCACGCCAATCAAACAGCTGTCCAATCATATCGGCCTGATTTATGCTAATTTCACAAATGTCAACAAAATCAGATATAATCAAGACTGTGTGCATGTGAACTGTGTTCATCTGATTATAAACTGAACTGTAAAATATAGTGGGGTCAAAAGTTTAAATGCTGTCATGCAACAAGCAGCGTCTGCTATTATGGATATGGAGATATGCTAAATAAGGATATGCTAAATAGGGATAATTAACCCAAAAGTGAAAATGACCTCATCATTTACTCTCCGTCATGTGATTTAAAGCTGATATGAGTTTCTTTCTTTTGTTGTACACAAAAGAAAGTATTTTGAAGGATGCTGGTTGCTGGTACACATTAACCTTTGTAGTAAAAAAAAACTCTGTGGAAGTCACTGGGTTCCAACAACCAGCATTTTTCAAAATATCTTCTTTTGTGTTATACAGAAGAAGCTCAAGTAGATTCTAAAAAAGTGAAAGATGTGTAAATAATGAGGTGGTTTTCGTTTTTGGGTGAACTATCCCTTTAAACAGACAAAACTAATACATTTATTCTTTTCCTGCTTATACGAAAAAAGCTGTCTACATCAGCAGGTATGAGGGGTCTATATTCCTTAGGAAACTGAAACTAAGGAACAGACGCTCCAGAAGGCTGTTCAACTTGCTGAATAAGGTGAATTGCCACCAGTGTGAGTCTGACTAAAGCTGACGTGTGGAATACACTGCAAAAACTAGCACGACAGATGTTCACCAAAGGCCTGAAGTTGGCAGACGACTAACCATTGGCTTGTTGTGTGCCTGTTAAAAATACTACTTCCAAAAATAAAAAAATGAATAAAAAAAAAAAAAAAAAAAAAAAAATATATATATATATATATATATATATATATATATATATATATATAAAAAAAAATATATATATATACATATATATATATATATATATATATATATATATATATATAATTTATAAGATTGTCTTGGCAACTGAAAAGTAAAATTACTAAATAAATAAATAATGATTCATATAAGTTAAGTTAAATATAAGTTGTTTACATTATATGACTTTTTATTTAATAAACAAAAACGGTTTATCTACAAACTCGAACTCTAGCTTGAGTTCGCTATTTCTGTAAGCCAATCAGGATTTTAATGCACACACAAGGACCAATCAGCTTTCTTTGTCTTTTCACCAGACTACTCTATTGACATCAGAAAAGACCACAAACACAAAATCCCACAAAATCAGCCGGCTAATTAATGCTGCACACAGTTTTGAGATGTGTGTAAATCTGATGATTTTGAAGCATTTTTAGACAGAGATGAAATGTTAAAATCTTTACATTTAATATTAAGCCTTAAAAGGCAAATACTTAATTCATGGGGCATATAATTCAATAAATATAATTTAAAAATTCATATAACGCATTCAATTTATTAAATTTTGACACATTAATTAGATAAAATTAACATCTGCACTGGACAAAATATTTAGCACTGCCTTGTATGCTTTATTTGAAACAAGAAAAAATATTCATTCTAAAACATTCAATAAATGTTTTAGAAAGCAAAAGTTTTACTTTCTCACACATTGACATATTGTTACAACAACAAATTATATATTTTTGATTGTATTTCTTGAAAAACAATGCTTCAATGAATGATCGGCTAGATAGATCCTTAAAATTCCAAGTCGAAAATGACTTTTTAGAATAAAAAGGTTCTACAGTATCTGCATTTGATCTGTTTTTTTACTCCAATTTGCAAATGTAAGAGAACTTTGATAATTTACATTTAGAGAACATTTAGGGTTTGTCATGTTAATGTATGAAAGAGAACTGTTACACATATTGTTTGCTGGAATGCAAAAACTTTGAAGCTCATTATCAAAACCATTTAAAATGGAATCTTATATTTCCAAGGTGTGAAAGTTCTGACCAACTGGAAACATTTGTATTATCCTTAAAAGTACCATTTTTTTATGTGTGAATGTGTGTTTGTATTTTTAAATACTCTTTTAAATACTCAAATTCCTTTGATAAAAGCTATTTAAATCCAATGGTTTGCATAAAGATTTGACATTATCTAGAAGGATCTTCTTAAAAACAAGACCTCCTGAACATCTGTGCCTTTTTATTTCCAGGTTAACATCATATTTTAAATAGACTTTTACTCCATTATTCAGACCCCACTATATATATCTAATCAGATGAAGACTGTGTGAAATCAATTGCTCTTGATGTGAAATTACTGTACAAGATAAACTGTATATCAACTGTTTCTTTGTTATTAATGTGTTTGTGTGTGTTGTGTATGTGTGTGTGCATGTATTGTTGGCTTATGCAGCAAGCGGTGGTCTGAGTGAGGTCAACAGGGACTATCAGAAAGAGCCTCTAACTCAGTCTGAGCTGGAGAGGCAGCAGATCCTTCAGGAAATGAGGAAGAAAACTTCCCTGAACACAGACAACAGCTGGATTCGCCAGAGCACTTCTAGTGTCCCTGCCAAAGAGCCAATCGATCTACCCATAAGAAGGTCAGAATCTGAGCTGTTTTCTTATGTTGTAAAAAAAAGAGCAAGCAATTACAATAATGAGGGGGGAAATGACAGAGCTTCAAACACTTGCTTGCAGAGGTGAGTCTCTTGACAACCTTGATGAGCCTCGTTCCTCCTGGAGATCATCATGGAGCACGTCAAACAGCACCTCGTCCATACCAGACTATAGCCGGCCACATTCAGCCCTCTCTGGCTCCACATTGCAGCCGGCTGGACGTCCAGGCTCTGCCACTATGCAGGCATCTCAATCCATGAGCTCTCTCAGGCAGTCCACTTCCACACCTGCAAACCCACCAGAGCCTCGAGCTCCACAGAGAAACAGGTACTCATCCCTGAAACATATGCAGTGTTCTTTTAAACCAGGGTTGTCCAAACATGCCACTGTAGGGCCAGTGTACTGAAGAGTTCAGCGTCATACCTGTCAACATTAGGATGTGAAAATAAGGTAAATAAACAGAGTAATATGTTTTATTATTTACAAAAGAAAATATATATATATATATATACATTAGCAGCAAATACATTAACAAACAGTTCAGTTTATTAAAGTTAATAGCTATTATAATGAAATAGAATTTAGCTATCAGATATAATTAGCCATTTCTTCACTGTATAACTTACACATTCTGATTACAGAGCAACGAATGAATCTCTCATTTATTTAGATTTTTTCATTTGATTAGGTGTCACTTTAAAATGCACACATTTAACCTTGAAGGCATTCGACTGCTTTCCTAACTTTTTATGCTCATTTAAGACGAAATTAGTTGTGTTTGAAAAAAAAAAAACACCAAGATCAAAATCTTTAGATAATATTATTATTAGTTATGTGTATACGTCTGTTCAGACACGCACCCAAAATAAAAAACTAGGGGGTCTAGTATTTATTTTTCCTTCTATGGAAGTCGATGGTACCAAGTTTTCAGCTTTTCAAAAAATTGTCTACTAAATTTTTATGCGCATCTCAGGGTTAGAAAATGTTCAATAAATTTGAATTTTTGGGTTAACTGTCCCTTTAATATGCCAAAATATAACACAGAAACATCCACAATAACAAGCACTTACCACAACAAAACATTTTAATCCAATCCCTATGGGATGTCTACCCGGGTCATATAGAAGTAAGTCCTCGTTTTGTTTACCTTAAAAACATGAATTCAAAATTACAATTGGTAAGTTCAGAACTTTTTTTAAACCCATCCGCGAAATATAATAGAACTGTACAATTCCAAAGAATATACAAAGATACTAGCTTTTTCATAAATTACAGTGAATAAAGCCATAAATCAAAAACACAAAATTATGGCTCTCAAACTCATATATATATATATATATATATATATATATATATATATATATATATATATATATATATATATATATATATATATATATAGATGGTAGATTTTTATATTTTAGATGTACTGTATTACATGTTGACAAAAACATACTGAAGATAATGATGTTATATTACGAGTGTTGCAGCACCAGTAGAAAGTCTAGTGTGCAGTGGCCAAACTATAATGTGACTGTGGCTTTAAATCTAACAAATACAATAAAGTTGCTGTTGTTGCATTATTTTTATGCAAATGGGAATTTAGTTTTAGTTTTCTTTAAGCAAATCTGGAGTTCAAATTGGACACTTTAATTCTTTAAAGGATGCTTGAGCTATCCTTATGAGCTATCCTTACACTGCTACAATCTTTAATCATTTCGGATATGTTCTGAATTAAAGCCATTTGAGAAACCATCTATTTATTTCCATCCATTCCCACATGTCTTCCATTTTCATGTTGTCTTCAAAATATGTTTACATTCACATGAGCCAAGGGCTGTGCGCAGGTCTGTGTTTCTGGGCTTCAGATCATGTTTTGTGTAATCTAGGTCAGTGAGTGGCAGGAAAATCTGTTCATTCTGTGATACACCGCTGGGCAAAGGAGCAGCCATGATCATCGAGTCCCTGGGGCTTTGTTATCATTTGACTTGTTTCAAGGTGAGCGTTCAGCTACTCTGAGGTCAGGTCCAGCCTAGCTTCATCAGTGACTAACCCAACTACTCTGCCCTGCCTGCTTTTCTACTATTCTAATCAGTTCTTCTATGCACGTAGAAATGCAGCCATCAAAATGTCAACAGAGAGAATCAAAATGTCAGTTCTGCCTTTCTAGCACATGCAGCACTGCCCTCTGACTTTTCCTTCTTTCCTTAAAGACTATCATTTTCTCCAACTTGAGAACAATCCATCAAAACTTTTTTAGTCTGGACTACACAAATGCATTTCCTTTAAGATGGAATTTGGGTGATTTTGCTGCAAACACAAGAGGCTCTTTTTTAACAATCAAGGCTCAAAGTTTGAAGTGCATGGCGCAAAAACATTAAGGGCATGTCTGCATGCACTTTTGCTATTTTAAGGATGGAAAAATACAATTTGCGCCCTGACAAATGATCTAAAAGGGTTTTGCTTATTCCCTTAATGAGTAACGGGTGTTTTCTGAGCATAACGTGCATTAAACCTATCAGGGTCTCCCATTTTCTTTGAGAGTCAGTTATGTCACGCCATAGCTATTTGCATAGCTGACTTTGTAAGTGGAAAACTGACTGGAAAAACTGAACGCTTCACTAGCGAGAAAACAGTTAAACAGACCATCTGCAGTGCAAGGATAAAGAACGAACCTCCTCCCTTGGACATCTTTACTTTTACTCTTTACTCCTTCCTTACTTAAGAAATGGTGTTGTACGCACTCCACTGAAGACGTCCATTAACCTTTATATTTAATTTCATTTGTTAAGCGCAAAGATTTGTTTCAAAATGATCTCTAAATTCTGTTCTAATTTCCAGCAAATAAATAAAGGAACAATAATAATGAAATGTGGTCAAAAAAGTTATAGAGTTATAGGCTATCCAAACACTCATCCTTTTCTTATGCCCCATTTGATCCAAAACCCGATAGGTGGACAAATCTAAGCTAATTTTTAATAAAACAAATATAAATATGCATATAATAAATAACACTACTAATACATTTATACAAATGCAAACTGTCATGAATAAACTGAAAATTATCCTAAGGTAAAGAAGGGATGGGTAGTGGTTGTTATATTTACGTAGAAAAGAACAATTTTTGTGACATTTTAATACTTCATTTGTTTTTATATGTAAATATATTTGTGTATTACTGTACATTCTGTGTGTATTAAGCAATCTGTACACTTTTAGACCCACATACAGGTAGGTGCATAACTAACGTGCTCTGCGCTGGACTTTAGAATAGCTTTTACTTAGTCAGTCGCCCAGTCTATTTCAGTTGCTTAATATAGCAATGCACCAACAACGCACCTTGACATACCTCCTTTTTAGACCAGCACAACCATGAGTCCACAAAGTGGTGCAAATGGATTTTCCATTTAAACAACGTGGCATAAAATGTGAAAAGTATAGTTGCACTGGTCTGAAAATAGCAACAAATTGCACCAAACATGTCTTTTGCCTTATTAAGACAGATGTATAATAGGGCCAATTGTTTTACTATGAACACTTGGATTATACTGTACTGTAAAATCATTCCATCACGGAAACGTCATATAAACACCCATAGTCTAACTTCACCTACTGTAATTTGCTTTAATTTACATAATAATTCAACTGTCCCTACACTGAAAAAAAGTGTTGCATGCAGAACTGTTGCAAACAATTTATTTGTGTTAAATTTAAACAAACAAATTAAGTTTAATAATGTTCAACTTAATTTGTTGGTTTAAATTCAACACAAATAAATTGTTTACAACCACATAACGTAAAAAAAAATTAAGTAAATCCAAGGAATCATCTTTGAATATTTTTTTTCAGTGTATTACGTTATTTAAAATGCTGTCCTACATTAGGTTAACATTCATCCAAGCTCAAAAACTTTTTCATTTTCAAATGAATCAAAAGTCTGGATTGCAGATCCCAGTTAGGCTTTGGTTTGGGTGTAAATTTTAACTTTTTTTAAACTAATCATTGAGTTCAGTTTGGTAGCATTAGATTTTGAGACTCTGTCAGCATTATCCATCTATACACAAACATCTTGACCTAATTTGGTTGTTTGGTTGTGTTAAAGTGGTAAAAAAGGTTTTAAAAAAGGCTTTTGGTTGTGGTCAAAATATCTCTACTTACAAAATCAATTGGAAAGAGTAATAAAATAAGATAATTATTACCCCTGACTATTTAAACATTAAAGTCCCAATGAACCGAAAGCAGAGATTTTTATTTTATTTTTGTATTGTGATGCTGTTCCTAGAGAAACTGAATTTTAAATGATAAAAGAGTGGGCATGGCTTGTTTTTTCTACCTGAATGGATGTAGTAAAGTAGGCATTTCATTCAGAAAGATCGGGAAAGGGGTTTTAAAAGACCTAACACACTCCACCTGCTTACCATTTCTGTTTATTGTCAAAACTGACAGTGGTTAAGTATGTTAGCCATGCCCATTACCTTAAAATCATGTAATCTGAGAATAAAACTGAAAACAAAAATGCATTGTCAGATTTTAATTAAATATAAGAAAGGCAAACTTTTTTTCTTAATGACATGCATATGGTTAGTTTTGATTTCTTCGGGTCTTCGGAACTACAGCATACATCTACAAATTCCCTTACAAAAACCAGGGCACACATTAAATTTGAAACAATTATGCTCACGCACACACTGCAGCAGAGAGCATTTGTTTAGGAAATATCCACAAATGCACATATTAAAAGAGTGAGGTTTAAGTTTGAGAAGCATTTGAGGGTAATTACTGCAGATTGAATTTGTTGTATCTTCTGTAATTTGGCACTCAGTGCTCGTCTGCAAGATGGGAAATTGCACCATGCATAATTCAACACATTTCTGTAGTAAATCGAGTGCTAAAACAGCACAGACAAGTGTGTGTGTGCAAACAAACCACGCTATTAGTGGGCGTAATTCATTCTTATTGAATTCCCTCCTAAATTTATTCCCATGCCATCAGAGCAGCAGTACGTGGCTTAGCTTAATCGTTCCTCACACATCCTCATCATTTCCCCAAATGCCAATCATTTGTACCTCTTCTCATCCTCTCATTCACACTGCATTGTCCTCCTAATCTTGTTGATGGGTTATTTCTGGATCTTTTGGCTAATGTTGCCGTTTCTATTGCATATCCTCTTATGCCGCTTATACTGACCTCAAGCTAGGATTCTCTCTTGGAAATGGAGGCGAATGTACGATACAGCATTACATAGTGGATTGTGCTGTCTAACAATGTGTTCTTTCATCTACTGTTTGCAGTGTTCTGACTGCAGGTCTGATCTGGGAGGCTCACAAGCAGGAGCAGAAGTCAGAATACGAAACCAGCAGCTCTATTGTAACGTCTGCTATATGCGGCTCAAAAGTAGGCCAGACATCTCTGCAATATGCGCAGCTCCGTTACATAGTTCACTGAGTGATTTCTGATGTTCTGTTTGACTGTATTTTTCTCTTTCCAGCTGGGCAGCCCACAGCCATGTGATCTCGCTGTACTGCAGCAGATCCAGGAGGAACCAATCACAGACAAGGAACTATTAACGCTCAAGATTGATGAATACTAGGGGATTTCACCAGCCTTGATTATTCAGCGTGCTTCTGTTCTTCTTCTCTTTTTTTACAGAGATTCCTAAGGTTGTTTATTTGAATTTAAGTATTAGTAATTGTTTGTACAAAAAAGAAATGCATGTACCTGAAAATATGAGCTATGCATTTTGAAATGTACACAGGCTTGTTTTTTGAGCATTCATAATTCATCCACTGTCTTTTGGAAATTCTTTTTGATTTCTGGCTGTTTAAGTGATGTCTGTACGGCCCAAAAAGTGTTTATAGGAATTATTAGAGATATGCTATTTTAATTTTTAATGCTTATAGTATATAGGTTTCTCCTGCAGTTTGTGCTATATAAGGGTTTGTTGACTAAAATATCCTGTTATTCCATTTCATCTGTGCCTTTTTGTGTTCTGGTGGGGAAAGATGATTAAGGATAAATCCATTAAGAATTTAAGAGTGGCACGGTTAGTAAGCAGCGCTCATGAGATATACATATTGCATTGGTAGCACCTATTTTATGCAATGTCTCTGCAAGGGGGAAGATGGATCTAGAACAAAAGCAGCATATTTAGTAATAATTGTAAATAAAATTGCCAAACTATAATGTTCTCTGTGTGATTTACTTGACCCCTTAATCAGATTTAGTTCATCTAAGAGGCTAAACTCGACATTACTGTCTAAAAGTAGCATTGGTTCATCTTTCGTTTTCAGTCTCATCAGTCACTAGGGTTTTCATCCAATACCTTTTCATATGGTTCATGAATTATGTTTGGCACTGCATTTCCCACGATGCATGTGTTTTCTGTGAGTGTATATTATTCTTTATTGCAGATACCTAATTTCATTATTATTATTATTATTATTAAGTTTCAATGTGAAAGAAAAAGAGAAAACCCCAAGTGAACATGTTAAACATAAGCATTGTAAACATTTGAAAAGCTCACCGAAAGCCCCAAGTTTCTCTTTGTTTATCTGTATATATTTTGCCATCTTAACATTGTAGAGAGCCTAATGACAATTATCAGTTTGACAGATATATCATCTAGAGTTAAAACTAATATATGGAGCTTTGATGTAGTTTCCTTCCAGCTATTTTCCACTCAGACTTGGATGTTTATGGCTTTATCCATCATCCAGAAACGTATAAAAGTAGTTTTATAGCCTACTGGCTTTTTACAGTTATTCTTTTAATAACTTCTTCTAATTTTCTTAATCTTGAGATTTTCCTTGATACTATTACAAATTTAAAGCACTGAGAACATTGGGTTTGCCCTGCTAGTTATTTGCACCCATAAGGATTTTTTTTTTTTTTTCGTGAGGCATTTTGACATTTTCTGGGTTGTGAGACGAGTAAGTTGACATATCTGAATAAACCTGTATAGTGGCCAGCAGAGTACACAGTTTGTGTGTTTTGCTGCTAATATAGCATCAGCACAGTCTTTAAAGGGGCGGTCCAGGGTGTATTTTTAAGACTTTATAAGATGTTTATAAGATGCAAAGCAATGTGTGCTCATGCTTCAATTGTAGAAAATCATGTTCTTTTTTCATATACCTTACTTTGATTATATACAGCTACTCAGCTAGCATGAAAACTACTGCCTAGTTCCACTGAAAGGCCTGCCCTCAAGAGGCTCTGATTGATCAGCTAACATAACGTGCTGTGATACACGGATCGGCTCCATGAACTAGTTACTAAGAATGTGTAACTAAATTACAGTTACTTATGAAAATGCTAAAGATTACAGATGGGGTTACATCTAAATATGTTGAATAATATTAATATGTTGCTTTGCCTGTTTTTGATAAGCATGATGCCTTCTGTTAGGGCCATTTATTAAAGTGGTGCTATTCTGATGCTTTTGATTAGTTTTGCAGTTTGATTGCAGCGCACCAAGTCTACCAGTGACATCAATCCTCTCTGCCGCTGAAAGCATTAGGCGGCTGCTACAACCAGTCTGAGAGCTGCCACCATGGCAAAGATAAAAAATGCATTTCATTGCTGGAAATTTTTTAATTATTTCACCCTGAAATCCGAGAAGGGCACAAATATAACAGTTAACAGCTGGCAAACTAATTTTGCACTGAAAATACTTTCAATACGGCTTCAATGTGGAACCTGAGGAAGCATCTGCAGGAATGTACCATTAACCTAGCCTTTCTTTATTTTATTAAAGCAAATGGTTTTGTCGTTATCGTGGGTGTACAGAAATAAAAACAAACCCTTTCATTTTGCATGATATATTATGACCTGCAAAGTTATCGATTTGTGAAATTCAGGGCACCAACAGACACTTCTGGCCAAAGTGATTTTATCACATTAACAGTGTTGGGCAGTAGTGTTGCTACAAGTAACTTAGTGACGCTACTAGCCTAACTACATTTCTCAGTAGCAAGGGGAGGGGTGAAATACCGATTTTGGAAATAGTGCACCTCGTTGGAATAACCTAGTTGAGTGATTCTTACCCCTCATCATTTGATTGACAAAGACAACATAACTTAAAAGCTCAGCGGATAGCAGCGTGAGTGGCGTAGCTCAAAAAGCACATGGCATCATGTTTTGACGCAATCAATCAGCGTCTCATGAACAAGTTTTTTTTTTCCACTACAAATCAGATTTTGCCTACTCTTCATCACAAGTAGGACAAGTGGGAATCATTAATAAGTGGATGTATTATGGAAGATTGGAGAAGGGTTAAATCCATTTTTAGAAGTTATACATTAAAAATACCCTTACAAATAAATTTTTGTACTTCTTCAGTGAACTTGAACAAGTATATTAACATTCATTAATTTTCACTAGTTTTGTTGGTTTTTTTTTCCCAAAGTGTGCTTTAAATGCTTTAAAAATAAGTTAACTTTGTAGACTATAAATATATGTATTGTATATCATTTATTTTTAAAATGCAGGCAACACATTATAGATTAACTTTATTAAAATATATATATATATATATATTCATCTTATTTTTTAATTCAACTATAGAGGGACGGCCAGGTAGGGGGCCCTACTAGACATTGTGCCCAGGGGCCTCTGATTTCTTAATCCGGGCCCGGGTCTATATATATATATATATATATATATATATATATATACATACAGTTGAAGTCAGAATTATTAGCCCCCCTAAATTATTAGACCGCTTGTTTATTTTTTCCCTAATTTCTGTTTATGGGAGAGAAGATTTTTTCAACACATTTCCAACATAATAATTTTAATAACTCATTTCTAATAACTGATTTATTTTATCCTTACCAGGATGACAGTAAATAATATTTTACAAGATATTTTTAAGACACTTCTATCCAGCTTAAAGTGACATTTAAAGGCTTAACTAGGCTAATTAAGATAACTAGGCAGGTTAGGGGGATTAGGCAAGTAGTTGTATAACAGTGGTTTGTTCTGTAGATAATCAAGAAAAAATATAGCTTAAAGGGGCTAATAATTTTGTCCCTAAAATGGTTCATAAAAAATTCAAAACTGCTTTTATTCTAGCCGAAATAAAACAAATAAGACTTTCTCTAGAAGAAAAAATATTATCAGACAAACTGAAAATGTCCTTGCTCTGTTAAACATCATTTGGAAAATATTTTAAAAAGGGGCTAATAATTCTGACTTCAACTGTATATATATATATATATATATATATATATATATATATATATATATATATATATATATATAGTTTGCTGTAGTAAAGGCTGAAGTATACTATGGTATTTACTATTAATTCAAGATAGTTCCTAACAATACTACATCATGTAGTGTAATTTAATATTGAAGAGTTATATATACAATATAATGCTTATTCCTAAATATTTCCCTTTACTATAAATTACTATTGCATTTTAAATGTGTAACACCTGGTTTTATTGGATTGTTTGTTTTTGCTGTTATAATTTGTTTCTGTTTGGTACAGCATATTATTATTGGAGCAGCGTATTTAGCATATTTATATACAGCATATTTATTGGAGAAAATAAAAGTCAGTCTATTAACAACTGTATAACATCTCTTAGACTTCATTTAACCACATTTATCAAAATAGCAAGGTTTTAAATTTAATTTTTATCTCTATCAAAACATGAAATAAGGTATCTAACCAATATAAGCATAAAACAGTACAGTAGGCTAGCATAGAAAAGTAGTCTACTTTAAAAACAGTTTCATATTGAGAAAAAAAAAACTGATGATAAAACAAAACGCCAACAACCGGTTTACAGCATTGTAACAAGCAACAGATGGTTTCTGATATTGTATTATTGAACTTATTCTTTTAGCTTTAAAAAGGCAACCTAATCATGAAATGATCCATGCTAACTGTCGATGCCTACAACTGAACTTGTGGATTTCAGAGGAAAAAAATTTAAGTAGCTATATTTATTAGTAGGCTATTATAGATAAATGGTAGCCTATATATAAAAATGGTAAGAAATTGTATTATTTAGATTATTTTGCTCCAAAGAACACTTGTACTAGGTTTACATGTTAAACCTAAGAAATTAGGGATTTTTACCAGACATTGTGCATCATTTCATAGAAACAATCTCATTTATTCTAGGTGTAATGTCCTGTGCCATGGCTACTTTCATTACAAACATAATGTGGTGGTCTGTGAGGCGGTATCTGTGGGATGTTTTGGCAGAGAACATTAATTCACATGAGTATTTCACCTTGGTTGAAATTGTGGGTTTTCGCTGTCCACTTTGCGTTTTTTTGTCATTGTGCTAGTTCCAAAAATATTTGACCTTGTTTACATTTAGTGTAACAGTATGCTAACGTCTAAATTAGTAAGTAGGGTAAAGCGCAACAGCACCACCTGCGTCTCAATATTGTAATTGTCACAGACCTAATATTTAAAGTGAGCAAGGGCCACTTGAACTTCATTACTAAAACTTGTTGTCGGGCCTGATTAAATGTTTTGACGAGCCACATTTGGCCCGCGGGCCTTGTAATTGACACATGTGATATAGAGACAGTGCACACACTGGTAAGGATTGTGGGTGTTTACAGTGGTTTTACGGATACATATGAGTTTGTAGCTAACTTGTTATGGTGCCAAACATAATTTTTTATTGTTCACATTCATGTTTATGTCCTTGCTACAACATTCAGTTAACGCTAGAAACTGTGCATGTAATAGATCGACTTTAACAAATGAAAATACTTACAGGTTGTGGCTCACAATCCACAGCTTCTGCTATTATGGTTGGAGCTGCTCCTTCTTTTTAGCCAAATCCAAAGCATTACCTAAAGCAGGGGTCTCAAACTCGCGGCCCGCGCGACCGCTGTACTCTGACAGAATCAGCGGAGCGGGGAGAGAGAGCGCTCCCCGCTCCGCTGATTCTATCCGTACACAGCGCGCTTGTCACTCAATGCGCATTGTCGCGCGCGTTCTGATCAGCTGTGTTGTCGCGCGCGTACTCAAGAGCGGTGTTATCGCGCGCCTACTGAAGGGCGGGACCGAGGGTGTGTCACGTCGCGGGGGCACTTTTGATCATTTTGGAAGGGCACTTTCTATGCAAGACTAAAAAGGGCATGTGCTCTGCACAGGTTGAGCCCTATGTGTGCACGTGCCTGCCCTGCATCTTGTGTTGATATTATAG